GGCTCCGATGCTGAAGGGCTTTGATGCTCAAGACACTGAGCTAAATGAGCCACACCTGTGCTTAAATGTTTCTGGTTTTTATATTGACCACATCACTCATCGACAGCCGAATGATCTATGAAGAATAAGGTCTTGCCATGTTCCATGCACCATTGTCGTGAATGGGCTCCTTCACTTTAAAAATTGAATTCTGTGCCATCTCCGCAATGAAAGTTGGCTGCAGTGCCTTACTGTTGTCTTCTGGAATATTTACATCTTGCACATGGCGACTCTCTCGTCATTGTCCGAAAACAACGAGAACCGGTGTTTTGTTAACCATCCACTGCAAGGAACGAACCCTAGTACTCAATGATTTCTGAATGGTTACCGCATTCACTAACCTATAGGCCACGGTGCTGCACTTTACATGCTATCTAAAGCAGTGGTTTCCAACAATCGGTTGCGAAAAAGGTATAGTGGGAAAGAGGGTGGGGGCGCGCAAGGAAAGATTTAAGGTATGAGTTAACCACGAGGCTGCAGCAACCCCGACTACCCCAAGTCCTTTGCTCGATGCTGCATTTTCCCCAGACCATAGGTGATGGCGTGTGCGACTAGCAAGACCCGCTCGTGTTGAGAAAAGTATTTCACAGTTACAGCATAGAATATCAGGACCACTGCTGCCATCGCTTGTCTTTCACGTGCTTCTTCTCGGGCAGCGAGCGTTTAACCTACATGTAATTGGTTTCATTTGCATTGTAACACTAATCTGTTGGACTTCTGCTCTAAAATGGGAGACTGTGCAGGGCAGAATGTTAAGCTTTACATTTATTTATTTTTTCTACAGCGCTTTGCTAATGCACTTTCCACATATGGACGGCATTCTACAGTTTCGCTGCACGGACTACTGAGTTAGTGGTTGATGCAGCCACGTGAGCTGTGTTTTTCACGAGGAATGCCTTTAATCTGTGAATTCTTGAGTCGTGATATTAAAAATAGAGGTGGCCGGTTTACATGTGGGCTGGTGAAGTACATTATGTAATAATTTTACATTATACTTATCGAGCCAGACTACTTCCATCAATGACAAACTGAATTTCTGGTGCCGACTGTTGGCTTTGCCGTCTCTAGCAACTAACATCTGCATTTACTTCTTCTTCTTCTTCTCTTCCACCTTGTACCTCATCGAAGTGTCGGAGGGAGATGTAATGTTCGTTGATGAGCTCTGTCAAGAGCACTATTAAGACTGATGTTCATTTATGTAAGGCTGTTCTTAATGTCATCACTCCATATTTTCCGAGATCTTCCACTCGCTCTATACCCGTTGTAACGTTTTAGTGTGGCTCGCTGAGGTAGAGAGTACCAGGGCATTCTTGTTAGGTGTCCAAACCACTTCATTTGTTGTTCTTTGATGACCTTTAAGACTGGCTTTATTCCTAGAATTCGTCTGATTTCATGATTTCGTATTCTGTCTTTCCTTGAAACTCCCGCAGCTCTTCTAAGGCATTTCATCTCTGTTGTCACAATTTTACGTTCTTTGGAGGATGTAAGTGTCTACGTTTGGCATTGATAGCATAGTGTTGGCCAAAAAATAGTTCTGATAAGATTCACTTTAGTACTCCGAGATATCTGCTTGTGTGTCAACAGGGGAGATAGTTGATCCAATACTTGATTAGCTTTGGCACATTAGGAGCTAATTTCTCTGTCCAGTTTTCCGTCGGATGTAAAAATTGCTTCCCAAATACTTAAATTCCTCTGTCTCAGAGTGTTGTTGTTTTTTTTTTTTAATTTAATTTCTAAATTGTCTTTATGTCTTCCTATCATCATTGTCTCTGTCTTCGTAGTAGTTTTCATCACCGCCTTCTCTAGATTACGCCATCTAACTAAATCACGTGACTTTTCGGTTGGAGTCCCTCGAAAACTGTTTAGTGTAAGCCCTTTCCATGTGTTGCATTGTGTGACATTTTAATGTGCTTACAAAGTTCTGTGTTCAGAATGAATTCGTATTACAAATCTGCAAGTGGATATTGTGAAGTGGATATACAAGATTTTCAAACTTTGCTGTTAGATTACAGCAATTTAAATTTAAATTCACGGGAGACAGTTGTGTTGTGATGTGTGTGTCACTGTTTCTAGTCAGTAGTTTGGATTTTTGGGAACTGGCTGTTTATTTTTTTTCTACTTTGAATGTGGAAAAACTTACTTTTGGGGAAAATACAAACAGGTAATTTAGAAGCCAGATCTGGAGAATATCGACAGTTGTCAGGTGCAAACTATTTTGTGTTGGAAGAAAACTATTGCTTTCATATTGATTTTGCATAAATGGTGCAACTAAACTGTGGATAAATTGTGTCGAGATATTTCGGAGCTCTTGGTAAGTGGATAAAAATAATATTAACTAACTAACCTCTCACAGCAAGTCACTCTTTGTCTCTTTACTATTTGTTGACTAACAGTATAATTATATGTTGCTTCGCGAACACTGGCAGAAACTTATGGTTATTCATCTACGTCTTATGCATATTTGCAGTTGTACGGTCTGTGTTCCTTTTTGTGAATTTTCTGCTTTGCGAACACTTGCAGAAACTTATGGTTATTCATCTACGTCTTATGCACATTTGTAGTTGTACGGTCTGCGTTCATTTTTGTGAAATTTCTGCTTCGCGAACACTTGCAGAAACTTCTAGTTGTTCCTCTACGTATTATACATATTTGCAGTTGTACGGTCTGTGTTCATTTTTGTGAATTTTCAGCTTTGCGAACACTGGCAGAAACTTCTTATTGTTCATCTAATTCTGGACTTTAATCTTGTGTATGTTTCACAGCAGTATTTTTATGTGCTAAATTTGATTAAGTACAAATGTCAACCCCCACTCCCCTCATCTGATGCAACAATTCCCTCTCAGAATTAAAGAGTTGGTACTGATATTTCTTTACTTTTGCTGGAATAGCTTTTAGTTTATTTCTACACGATATTGATGTTTATGTTCATGTTGCCTGTAGCAAAAGCATTTTTGTTTGTCTGTAAGAGCCTTTATTGTTATATTTAAATAGCACACATATTTACCTTCAAAATGACGTATAGTTCTATAAAATATGTCGAAAATTAATTAAACTGTAGTTTAATTTGTGTATACATCTCCTCGATAAAAAACTGTTAACACAGAGGGACTCCATTCTTGCGCAAGAACGGGAATCCCTGTTGACCCAGTTGGCTTAAAAACAGAGAAGGACGTGATTTTCATTTACTGCATTTACTGATTGCGCATATTTTTAGATTGTTCCTTGACTGTTCCCTCCCAGTTTGGCAGCAGACAGGGCACCACAGAGAGCAATGCTATACAATTAAAATCCATGCGGCGGTAAATACTCAGGCTCAAAGATCTCCCTGCCTACACCACAAAACGGGTACAATTTTGGCATCAAATAAAGTGGAGTGGAGGAAATGAATGTGCGCCCTATGTGAAGATTAACTGCACACAAAGGATGATGATGTGTACTTAAAAGCTATCATGAGGACATTAATGTTTGCTGACAACTACCAACAAACACATAATACAAACGCCAAAGTGTCATCTTGTGAAGGAAAACTTTAAAAAAAAAATTGGTTTGAAATTCGAAATCTTGTCTGAGAAAGCTATTAGTATGGCTGCATTTGTCAGGTACACATCTCTGTGAAGCTGGATTATCGTCTGCACAACCACCAAAATACAGTTTTAAAAATAAAGCCAGTGAGGTAGAAAACTACTAAAAATGCAGAACCAGACATTCACCTGCAATTATCATCAACTGAACTTGAAATATGAAAACTATAAAACTGCAAGGATATAATTTCCATGAAGTGTTTCTTCATTTAAGCTGCTCTCACAAACAATCTTCTGTAATGCAAAGTCTGATTTATTGCACTATCAAACAACTTTCATGTAAGACCAAGTTTTGATATTATGTGCATTGGTGGTAGGTGAGAATAAATTGACCTATGCTAAATTTAGGGGCTGCATGAATCTCGAACATGCTCATCTTTTGCCCTAGATACAGTCTCTCAAACTGCTGTTCATCCATCTCTTCATGTTATCCTTCCACATATATCGCTGTAAGCCTCTTGCTAGGTTGTTTTAAATTTTCCCGCCAGTATCTAACTTATCTTGAACAAATTTCCAATGAGCATAGCTTCTATTAGTTTAAAGCTTATACTCCATTGGGAAATGACAGGCAAAATCAGTTACATAGTTTTAAACAAAGCAATTAAATGATTCATTCTGTACACAAAACAAAGTCAAAGATAAATACGCATATTGCATTTATTTTTTCTACATGAGTTCATTCCATTTCATTGACAATCTATAAATACAAGAATGAAAGCATTCTTATCAACTGACAACAGTGATCATAAAATACAAGCCTTGAATCACACTTGTGACTGCTCCTTCATACAATTGTTTATCTGTGTTTTTATCTGATGGCCACCCCTCCTTTGTTGGCATGGAGCACAAATAACACAAGCTGGAGATGTTTTCCATGATGGTTATATACTTGATGTGTCTCAAGTACAAATTCAGATTTATTCAGTTATATATTTTGTCCTTTGCAAATATTGCAACAATGTTCACGTGTCCCAGGCACAGAGAATTAATACAATGAAATATCCTTTAAACATATCTACATCCGAACAAACAGAAGTCTCTGTTCTCATTAGCACAGCGGTAGCAAATCTAGTCCATATATCCCCTTGGATAAGAATATTTCTCAATTTCCTTTTTAACAAAATTAACAGTCATTTTTAGCACTTTTCCTGCACCAAAATCACCCGACATCAGAATTCCAACCTATGAACTAAAAATCCATGTCTTGAAATCCCAGCAAGCCCACTGTATACAGTGATAGTTAAAATATTAATTGTAATATCTAATCTACATGTTGAGATGCAAGATTCCAAGCCCAATTAATTGCTTTACTGAAAACAAAAGCTTCCAAAATGTGTTTCTCTGCTAGGCAAATTCAGTGTTGACACTTCAGTTCTATATCTACACCAAGCCTGTTTTTTTCTTGAAAATATCTTTCAGATTCACATTGACTGAAATTTTTCTCCTCTCTTTTGGTTCCGCTGGTTCAAAGCAAAACCTAAAATTGAAAACAGATAAGAAAAAAAATATTTTACAATGTGTGCTAAAAATGTTGACAAATCAATCATATTTTTTTTTAAACTTTATAATTGGAAAGAAAATCAAATTAAGCTAATAAATTAACTATAACCTCTAATAGTTGGAGTTGCCGTTGCAGAGCTGCTAGACGCGCGCCGCAGATCGGAAGGTCGCTCTCTGGCGGGGCCAGACTTTTCTTTAAAAAAATGACCTTGGCTCCCAGGTCGACCAAGCCTTGAGTGGGTACCGGGTGCAGTCCTCGGAAGTAGAGGAGGCCGGCGTGATGCTGACTACATCTCACATCTTGTGCCACTGGTCTATAAAATACAGGTCTAGCCCTATATGCCCTATACGCCTAAAGGCGTGGAAAAGGGTCCTTTACTTTACTATAACATCTAATTGTGTTCTGGTATGGCCCATGTGATACCAAAGATCTTAGGTGAAGCAAAAGACATGTTAAGGTTAGGCCTGGTCCTGTTAATAGCTATGGAAGTCAATCTTTAGATAGCAATATGGTTTATGCATTTCAGCAAAAGGATTCATTTTATGTTAATTTAACTCTGTAGTAACGCATCTGACGAGATACAGCGAAATATGCCAGGCAATAAATTGTTCAATGTATTGTTTGTGTCCGCATTATTTAAATAAAAGCAATGTCTACTGAAACTGGATTGTTCAGGGAATTAGGCTTCATGATACAGAGCAAAGTACCGTATTTTGCCGTGCATAAGATGCTCACGATATTTTCACCCCCAAACAAAATATTTTGAACATATTCTCTTTATAAGATTACCCCCAATTTAAAAGTTAATAAGTCTGATAACACATACTGTCTTAAACACGGAAAAATACAGCAGTCCCTGTTAAATTAAATAATTTATTATAAAAGAATGAAAACAGATGCTCACCGTTTAAATTCCTCTAACTCTCTTTCAAAATCATCGACATCTCCATCCAACTCTGACTCAGACTTTGGCATAAAAATCTCATCTGTTGACCCAAAAAAATTTACAAGCATTAGAGAATATTACCAATGGTACAGTTAAAAAGAAAATAAGGCTGACAAATCAGAGATCCTTAGTAACAAGTCTATTACATTTTAATTTATCAAAAGATAATTAGGAGTCTTGGTGGCATAATGGTTAGGGTGCTTGCCTGTCATGAAAGTGGTCCAGGTTCAATCATCAGGAGAGGCGGGATTTTTTTTAAATGGTTCTTTATAAAATTTTAATTTATCAAAAGATAATTAGGAGTCTTGGTGGCATAGTGGTTAGGGTGCTTGCCTGCCATGAAAGTGGTCCAGGTTCAATCATCGGGAAAGGCGGGATTTTTTTTAAATGGTACCAGAGATACATTTAAATGAATTACACTCTGGTTCAATGCCCAATGCAAAATTGAACCTAAGTTTATGGTTTGATCCGTCATTGTAGAATGTGTTGAGGAAGAGTTGTTTACCTCAACTGGTGTTGTCATTTGGTATCTTTACCATCTATATCCTCTTCATAACATTGTTGATATATAAAACCTATCTATATCCTTTTGATAACTTTGCTGATATATAAAATCTATCTATATTTTTTTCATAATATTGCTGATATATAAGACCTATCTATATACTTTTCATAATATTACTGATATATAAGACCTATTTATATCCTTTTCATAACATTGCTGATATATAAGACCTATCTATATCCTTTTCATAATATTGCTGATATGTAAGACCTATCTATATCCTTTTCATAATATTGCTGATATATAAGACCTATCTATATCCTTTTCATAACTTTGCTGATATATAAGACCTATCTATATCCTTTTCATAACATTGCTGATATATAAGACCTATCTATATCCTTTTCATAATATTGCTGATATATAAGACCTATCTATATCCTTTTCATGGCTGAAATATAAGACCTATCTATATCCTTTTCATAACATGGCTGAAATATAAGACCTATCTATATCCTTTTCATAACATGGCTGATATATAAGACCTATCTATATCTTTTTCATAACACTGCTGATATATAAGACATTCACAAATTATCTCCACCGCTGCCAGTCTGCTACTGCTCTTCCCACAGTATCCCATGTTAGATTCCTTCATTTCCCTGTCCATGGTCCTTCTCCGGGTTTCCTTTGGTCGCCCACTTCTTTTTCTGTCTGCTGTCCATAGAAAAGCTGTTCTCACCACAGTGTAATGGGGCATCCTCCAAACATGTCTTAGCCATATCCATCTTTATCCTTTGATAACATTTGTCAGTGAAGAATATTGTGTCTCCCATCTGGGGTTTTCCCCTTGGTCTGTAACCTCATTTGGCCAAAATATTTGCAAGGCTCTCCTTAGGCATTTTATTTTTTTCAAAGTCTCTAGTTTATGTGTAATTCCTGCAGGGGTGTACGCAAATATTTCTACAATGCTGCTTTTGCATATTCTGAGTTTTTGTCTTCAAACTTTCTTTAACCTGAATATATAGTTAAGCGTGGCAAATGCTTGGTTAGCTTCAATAAATCTTGGCATTACATCCTTGTTAGCATCTCCACCTGGTCTAACATTTGCTGTTAGTCGAAGCTCCAATATCACAGCAAACAGGTCATCACAGAACCGCTCCATTCCTATGCCGGTAGAAATCAAGCAAAACATCATTCACTGTCCCACTTTGAAACAAGTGAAACAAACTTGTCAGTCCAAGTCAGAACTTCTATTCCTTCACCATTTAAGATATTTAAATTGCCTCTTTTTTAATTTTTTTCGCATTACTATATTTTCACTGTTATTTACGACATCTACACAATATCTGAGCCATAGACGCCGTCTCCTTGAGGACACAGCACACAATTATATTTTTTTTCAAGTAAATGCAATGGTTCGGTAGAAAAACAGCAAGTACGTAAACTATCGATCTGCCATTGCAGAAACGGTGAAATTACAAAAAACTTTTCATGGTGATACATCATTCTTTTCTTCTTCCACTTTTTCAGTTCACCAGCTGTAAACTCCAGCGAAACATTCTGGTTATTCATCCACTTCTGGACTTTATTCTTGTTTCAGAACTTGAGTTCCGTGTGCACATCTGTTTTACAGATCTGGCTTATTGTATGAAGACTTCAAGGGTAACACTGCTAATTAATCGCCATTTACAGTCGAATTTTAGGGGGAAGTAAGGGTCTATCATCCTCCTCCCCCTCCTCCCCCCCCCCAGTAAATGGGGTCCCAGAACCCAAACGGGGAAAGATATATTCAAAACTTACGTACCAACTCCTCTGACAGTGCCATTCTTGTTCTTTTTCTTGTTTTTCTTGGATTTGCCATTTGTTTTCCCCTGAAATAATGTCCAAAGTTTTAAAATAATGAACACACAATTAATGAATGCCATATTTAGCCTAGAAGAAAACAGCAGATCAAATGAACAACCTCCTAGAATAATTAACAAAGACAACTGGCCATCAAAAGATGGAAAGATCAAACTGTGTTTTTTACTGTGCTTGTATAATTTGTAAAATCTATATCTCCTGTAATGACATATACAAGCTAAAGACCCTTTTCAATTGTGTATATAATTCTCCTACGCTCATATTTTAACAGACCAACTAGACCTCGATGGGTGATGAGGTCAGTATCATATCAGCTGCCTCTCTTTCCAGGAATTTGCCTGCTACCCCATTTTAGACTGGGTTCACCTTGCAGCCAAGGTCATTGTTAAAAAAATCCAATTCCATACAGATATGAAACTGACACCTTTGTGACAGAGGCGAGACACTATGGCTCCCAACAGAAAAGCTTTGTGACAGAGGCGAGCCTCTAAGGCTCCCAACAGAAAAGCTTTGCGATAGAGGCGAGACACTATGGCTCCCAACAGAAATGCTCTGGGACAGAGGCGAGCCACTATGGCTCCCAACAGAAATGCTCTAGGACAGAGGCGAGCCACTATGGCTCCCAACAGAAATGCTCTGGGACAGAGGCGAGCCACTATGGCTCCCAGAAGAAAAGATTTCTGACAGAGGCGAGCCACTAAGGCTCCCAACAGAAAAGCTCTGTGACAGAGGCGAGACACTATGGCTCCCATCAGAAAAGCTTTGTGACAGAGATGAGCCACTATGGCTCCCATTATAAAAGCTTTGTGACAGAGGCGAGCCACTAAGGCTCGCAACATAAAAGCTTTGTGACAGAGGTGAGCTCCTATGGCTCCCAACAGAAAAGCTTTGTGACAGAGGCGAGCCACTATGGCTCCCGACAGAAAAGAGGCTTTGCTTCTGTGAGGCCACAGTGGTGCAGGAATATTCTGGCCAGATTAAAGACAACACATTTTTTTAAACCATACTGGAGGCAAAGGTCGAAGGCAAGAGTCAAAGGTAGATGATGATACTAGTGGGATGACAACATCAAAAGATGGACAAACAGCACACACAAAGAGTGTACAACCAAGACAAGAGTAGAGCATGTTAGATAACCATTACTGCTAACCTCAACTGTGGAGACAGCAATTGACTGATGCAGTGGCTACTGCACTTGCTATCCTAGTACCTTCCTGATGTTTTTGTTGTTGCTATTGCTGCCTCCAGGCTCAAAGTAGGTACCAGAACATATTCTGACACACAATGTTTACTGTACAGTACTGACCACAACAGCCATCAAAGGTTCAGTAATGAGCCTAGTGTGGGTAACTGAATGTCCAGGAAAACATGATCCTTGGTGCTTAAATACTGCACCATCTTCTTCTTCTTATAGTTCATTGGCTGTAAACTACAGTGGAAAGTTCTAACTGTTCATTCACTTCTGGACGTGAATCTTCCAGAAGTTTAGTTTTACATGAACATAAGACAGCAGATCATGTCCTCCAAGACTCTCCAAAGTAAAAGAGAAACAATGGTGTGGCTAAACAGCAGAATGAAGCCAAACTTTACGAGTTTGTGTGAATTGCAAAAGACAGTGAAGTTCATACTAGACACAACACTGCAGATAAAGATAATCAATTTCAAGGGAATGAAAGAAGAAGACATGCACATCCGTTTTATCGATCTGGTGTATTTGTATGTAGACTATTGGTTTCTTGCCTCTCAGACCAAAGTACTCTGACTTGAAAGAAAAACATCCCCCAATTAATCGCCTTCTATGGCATGCTTGTTAGGGCAGCAGTGAGTCTATTCTCTCCCCACCCCCTCCAAATGGGGCCCCAGAACCACAGGAGAAATTACTGTGTTTCCAACAACAGCTGCACATTTTGAACAAAAAAAGAAACAGTATTATATACACATAAATCTTCTTTTTCACGTTCACTGCCTGGAAACTCCAGCAGAAAGTTCTGGTTGTGTCAACCTCTGGACTTTAGTCTTGTTCTAGAACCGGAGTGTTGCATGCATACTGGTTTAACAGATCTGACTTAACTATGCAGATTTTTGGTTCCTCGCCTCTCAGGCAGATGCACTCTGACTTCAAAGGAATCCCCCAATTAGTCGACTCTTACGACACGCTTGTTAGGGAAGAAGTGGGTCTATTCTTGTTTTTTATATAATGGGGCCCCCCGTATGGGTTCCGGGGCCCCATTGTGGGGAAAACAAGAATAGACCCACTGCCTCCCCAAAAGCATGTCGTAAGAGTCGACTAATTGGGGAGCTTCCTTTGAAGTCGGAGTGCATCTGCCGAAGAGGCAAGGAACCAACAGTCTGTATTCAAGAGAATGAGATCTGTAAAACTGATGCACACGCAACACTCAGGTTCTGGAGCAGGACTGCAGTTCAGTAGTGGACGAGCAACCAGAACTTTCCGCCAGAGTGTACAGCTGGTGAACGCGAAGAAGAAGAAGAAGATAATGGGGCCCTGGAACCCACACAGGTAATATACATATAAATGTTTGTAATCAAAGAAACAATCTGGCCAAGAAAAGATATTTTATGAGCACAGGTTACTAGGGGTACAAATATAAAGGAATCAATTTTAGGTAATAATCTTAAATGTGTTACGGCAAAGTGAACAGGACTAAAAACATCCAGCAATCAATGTTAAGCGACTATCTAAAACGTACATTTGTATTATGATGAATTAAGTAAAGAGGAGTAACAATTGTGAAAAATCAACTTCAACTGACAATCTTTGAGAAAAGCTAGTACTCTGAGAACAGCAGGCTATAAGTCGAGAAGCAGACCAAGAAAGAGATGGGTGGAGGGAGTTTTAAAACAAAACAATAGAAACTCAATTTGACATTAACACAAACTATTTAACAACAACAAAAACTAGAAACTATCTCCAACTCCTCTTTGTGATGCTTTATGACATAAGCAGGACAAAAAAAAGAAAGGAAGAAGAAAAATCTACGAGAAATGCCTTAAGACTAACAAAGGAGGAATCAAACCTCACCTGTTCTGGTGCAAGCTTTGTTCCACATGAGGGCGACTGTGAAGCTGAATTACCACATCCTGCATTAGGGCTATCAACTGAAGGATTCTTGCCGTTGGAAGCGACAGTAGTTGTAACAGGTGTGGATAATGTGTTGCCAACTCCCTCATGTTTGCCTGAGCGTCCATTCACATAAACATGAGGCTCAGGCTGGCTGGGCCAATCAGCATCGCTGGTTGCTACATGATTACTAGCTCCTGTTGACTGAGATGATGATGATGATGACGTTGCTATCTTACCATTCATTATCTTATTTAGTTGCTGCTGTTTCTGATTCTGGGGATTTTGCTGCAGCTGATGATGACAATCATTCTGCTGTTTAGCCACACCATTGACTTTATTAGGCTCACTACTAGATTTAGCAGAGAAAGCTCTATTGACTGTTCCATCACATTTTAACTGAGCAGCCGATGCACCTTTTGAATTATTTATGGAAGATGGATTTGCAGATTTGTTTTTATTCTGGTGATTGTGCCTTTGCTGTTGCAAAGCATTTAAGAAGTGCAGCATGTGTTGAGATGATTCACTATTTCCCGCCAGTAACCTTTGCTGGGAGCTAGTAAACTTATCTACATTTTTTGGCGATAAGGAAATGGTGGGACGGGTAGATTCTATAATTAAGGAAGACCTATTGATTTCCTGCTTCAACATGGATGGGCCAGCATCTTTCACAACCAGCTCTTCATGCGAGTTATTCTTCCCTGAAGCTGAGCGGGCTCTCTGAGACTTTGGTTTCATCATGCTCAGTTTGAAATCAAGGCCAGACTGACTTCCTGCATTAAGGGTCTGATTCAGGAGCAGCTGTCGTAAGGTGCTCTCTGGTTCTGGCTGAATGTGTTTGTCAGTTGGTGAGGTGCTCTTTGCTTGTCTTGCTTTCTCTTCTAACTATATAAAGAAACAAAACAAAATGAATAGCTGAATGTACTTATGTTACTGAAATGTACCAAATGTGTGCTCAAAACAATCAAATACAACAATTCTGGCAAGAATGAAAAGAGTTGCTGAAGCAAATTTAAGAGATAAAAAATAAAAAGTTGGCCACATTAAAATACAACTTTCATTTTTTTTAAACTATACCAGTTAAAAAAAAAAATTTTCATGTATGTAAAAAAAAAACAAAAGTACAAGGCAAGAGAGCAGGAGGTAGAGAACAATATAAGTGGGAAAAGAACACCAAGAGATGGGCAAACAGCAGTCTCCAGGATAAGAGATAGACCGTGCTGGAGATTCACAATGGAGATGGCACCTGGTTGATCAATTTGTTGCCCAAAATGTGCACTATAGACTTGAGCAGTGTGTTATTTATCTGCAATTTTGCGTTACTGGTCCCCCCCCCCCTTCCCCTCCCCCCCCCCAATATATTTATATATAATATGAATTTATAAAATCATAATTTGACATGGTTGTTATTGATACTTTTCAATCCAAATGACATCATGATTGGTACCTTTCCGTCCTTTCAAATGACAGTGTTATACTGCTCTATGAGGAGGCATGGGACTCGCAGCCCATGGCGATGGTGAGTGTGATAAGACCCGCCCGCATTAAGAAAACTTCCACAACTACAGTATGGGTTTTCAGAGCTGTTGTCAATTCTGTTTCTTCTCAGACGCCCAGCTCTCATCCTTTCTGCAGTCACTGCTTCCTTCATTCTCATTCCCTTCCTAACGTGCCCCACCACACAACATGGCCCATAGAATTTTGTTCTGAGTCCACCTCAATGCCTGTATCATTCATGTCCTGCATGCACACATCTTTATATCGCAGGAGAGGTCGGCCTCGACATCATCTTCCTGTCTTCAATTCACTATACAGGATGTCATTAGGGATTCCAAATCCTCCATTCTCCAGGTGTGACCCAGTCACCTGAGCCTTCATAGACTGAGCATTGAGAAGACTGTTGTAATACAATATCTCAATGTTTGTGATCTTGCACTGATACTTAATGCCAAGTATTCTTCTTAGGTATCGCATGTGAACGCTATTCCACTGTCTCTCCTGGTGCAAATAAGTTGCCCAAGTTTCCCTGCCATAAAGCAGAGTGCTGAGAACACAAACCTTTCTGTTCTCCCAAACTCTTTTTGTTAATCTGCTCACTGTTGTTGCTGTCTTGGTCCAGTGATAGTGTGTTATTCACTGTGGATCCCAGATAGGTAAAACGGTCAACTGTCTCCAGTTCTTCACTGTCAATGTAGACTACAGGTCTATCATTAATGCCTTGCCATATAACCTTTGTCTTCTTTCTGTTGATTGTTAGTCTAAATTCACAGCATGCATCAACAAATGCAAACAGTAAACATTGCAGCTCCTCCTCTGAGTGGTTATTGCTGCAAACAGCAGCTCTTTGATAAGTACCTTTTTTATCCTGGTTTTGGCCTTCAGCCTACAAGCATTATAAAGGCTGCCATCAGATCGTCGTCGAGAATGGATTAATATACCACTCCCCTGATCTTGAAAGGCATGTTTCAAAAGAAGTGAGAAGTATATTCTAAAAGAGGATAGGAGCAAGTACACATCCCTGCTTCCCTCCATTGTCAATTACAAACTCCTCTAATGTTACACGATCAAAGCTGATTGTACCTTTCATACCCATAAAGAACGACTAAATAATGCTCAGTAGGGTAGGTGGACACTCAAACTTCTGTGCTGAACATAACTTTTTAACTAACAAAACAAATGCCTTGGTAAGATCAAGAAAATGAAATCAACCAATCAACCATATATTTATTTGACATAAAGTAACAACTTGTTAGAAAAGAACTGGTAGTGAAGAGATTAACCATGTTGCAGAGACAACATATGTTCTCCCAACTGCTACAGGATATTTAGCATGCTCAACTTTAGTCATCCTTTCTTGGGTCTTACAATTAGATTAATTTTTTATAAACTTACAGCACTTCACAGTACCTTGAGCAGCTAGTAAGTTTTCAGGTTTTCAAAGACAATCAACATATTTTGATAAAAACAAAAATCAAAGATGCCCCACCTTTTTCTGTTTCTGCCGTGCCCGTTTAGCAGCTTTTGCTGTCAGCTCCTTCTCAATATCCTTCCTGTGACCCTCCTTGTCTGTTCCATTAATGAAGCTAAGCAGACCATCCAAACCTTTCTTTTCCAGTGGATCAAGCTCTTCCTTTTCCCCATCCAGTATGAACCCATTCTTTGGAGTCCCCTGCTTGTGCTTGCTCTCCGACTGCTGTCAGAAATGACAAGAGACAATCAACTGGAGGACCTGTCAATTTTTATCTTAACCACTCACAAAATGATCATTGCTATCATTTCTTTGTACTAACTGCTGCATTCATACAACCAACCTAGGCACACATATTTTATTTTGTCAAACAGCACTAGTGTATTTTTTACAGCACACTTCAAACTACCAATGAACACAGCTAGAGGCATCTCAATTCACCTGGCTTCTGTAAGTTAAGACCATCTTCCCCCCCCCCCCCCCCCCCCCCCCCCCCCCACCCCACCAGTAACTAAGACTTAGATGATGTCGACTGATGAAGTTTACTATTTTTATTATTATCATTTTTTGATTATTTATTACTATTTTAATTATCTACTGAATGGAATCATGTAAGAAAGGAGTGAGGCCTAACAGGCAGAATGTAAGACGGGCCTGCGTGCTCAATTTTGACACCTCTGAAAAAAAGTTTGTTCAATCGTTCATTCTCACGACCCCTCTCCCTCTCTCTTTTTTAAACACTCATGAAATATATTTTAACACATGTCAGAAGGCAAAAAGACATAAATGTATGAATGGTTAACAGCAGACACACTTTAACATGGGTAAAATGTCCCACTACATAACGTATGTCCTAATGAATTAATCAAAACATTTATCCTTGCAAATTAATCAATTTACCTTTGTCAAAAACTAAGTAACCAGGACAAAATTAAAGATATTAAAATTCACACTTCTTTAAAAACTACTGCCAAACAGCAGCATGTCAAAGCGTAAATATAGCATGTGATGTGAAAGGCAGTAAAGCTGCAATATAGCATACGAACAGAAAGAGGTACATTTCATCAATACCATAGGACAGTGATTTTCAAACTGTGCATCGCAACCTCTTCACAGGGGAACCGCGAAATATTGAAGATACACCTGTTTTATTTATTTTTTTATCACTTACATATGAATGGTCAAACTTTTACAAAGCTAGGGCACAGTGGACAGATTTGATTGAAAAAAGGCGCTGTGACTAAGAAAAGTTTGGGAAACACTGCCATAGGAAATAAGAACATGTTCTTAAAGTAAAGCACAAAGGATTAAAAGAACAACAGACTAAAAATGGCTCTTTAAGTAAATTGACTATATGCAAAACAAAGACCATATATATTTATGATGGGTTCAAAGAAAACAACCAACAATGAAAAACAAATGCAGGTCAATAGTCACACATAAAAACAAAGAAACATTTTATAAATGCATACATTACTTGTAATTTAAAAATGATTTTCCATAACCTAAACTACACTGCATGCTCGCTTACCCGCTTTTTTAATTTCTTTCTCAACCTGTCCTTCATTTCTATATAGTTTGTGCTTGTTTTGGCAACCTGAGTCTGCAAAGATCAATATATGAGGCAATCAGACAGCAGTCTATATAAATCTGCATGTTTTTAACCTGACACATTAACTAAAAGGCTACTTGAGAAGCTGCAAATCAATCCCTAGCATATGGTGACTTTTTGAGGTTTTCTAGGCAATTTTATATTCAGTAATTCCCGGGGGAGTGAAGTTGAAATACGTGGAAGACATGGCTAGAGATGCATGCAACAGCGAAAGCTAGAAAGACCTGCTGTGAGTTGGTTGAGGGCCTATGCTCCACTGGGGGATAGAGGGCAGAAGAAAAAGAGTTCCCCATGTTGGTTCCAGGGCTCCATTTCACAGAAAAATGAATAGACCCCTGCCCCCACAAAAACCAGCATGTCGTAGCCACAGAGGTCTACAAAAACCAGGGGCAACTTCTGCCCATGAGGGTTCTGGGGCCCCATTTTGAGGAGGAAAAAGGAACAGACCCACTGGCTGGCTAACAAGCATATCCTAGAAGTTGACAAATTAGGAGTCCTAATTTTGAAGTTGGAGTGCATCTGTCTAAGAGTCTATCTACCAGACGTGTGCAAACAAAATTAACGAGATCTGTAACACGAATGTGCATGTAAAGTGTAAAAGTGGACGAACAACCAGAACTTTCTGCCAGAGCTCACAACTAGTGAATGGGCAGAAGAAGAACCACCAGCAACACATAAAACATGCACTCTTATATTCAGCAATGCTGTCAGATGGGTACCGACCACTATATACTAAGTCCCCTCGCAGCCTGCCAATTTCATTCAGAAAATATCAAAGGCAAGCTGTAGAATTCTTTCAATGTTTTTCATTAAATACAGCTGACAGAACTATCTATCAACAGATCATCAGAAACTGATATTTGAAAAATGCTTACATTGCTGTGTCCAAAAAATTCACAGTAGCAGCAGTCACAGTACTTCCCTTCCTTCTGGTTGGAAGTAGATGTGCTGGAGCTCTTTTCTGAGCAGCTGTCATCAACACTGTCACAGTTGTCATCATGGTGGTGGGCATTACATTCCGGCTCATGACACGGGCTGGATGTTCCCACTCCGACATTGTTGACCATGGGTGGCGAGCTGTTGCTACATGACAGGGAGATACCAGTGCCGCCTGTTGTGGGGGGGAAAGTTGTGGTTGGGGCACCAGGGGCTGGATGGGGAGAAAGCCCTGGCCTTGATATCAGAGGATGAGAACATGTTTGGGTGTTGTGCTTAGAGGTAAAATTTAAATTCTTCAACACAGATGGTGAGGTAGGTAAAGGTGGCCCTTGCAAACTACCAGTAAGAGGAAGGGCTCCCATGCTGTGCTGAGGGTTCTGGTTCGGAACTCCCACCACTGGTTTGTTCCCAGCACTGAATTTTCTACAGTGCTGATTCCTTTCCCACTTGCTCGATGAAGTGTTACCGCCAACTGGTGCTGGCCGCGAACAGGGAGGGCCATGGCAAGAGCCATTTGATTTAGATGTCAGAGATGTCATTGGCAAACCAGGTATGGAGGAGGAAGGTGCAGATGTAGTGGGGCAAGAAAATGATAGGGAAGAAAATGCAGAAGAAGAAACAGAGTTTAAGTTCAAACATGACTGGGGAATTTTTGAATGAGATGTGAAATCTACCGGCCTTAAAGGATCAACAGAACTCCCATCAGAAAGGATGTGGTTTACATTGCTAACAGTAGGAAGAATGGAGGAAATCAGAGGCTTGCCTGCTACCGATTTGAAAGCACTTGTGGTATTTGTAGTGGAGGTGTGCGTGGTATGGGTAGCCAAGTGGGAGGCCAGATCAAAAGTGAAGGGGGCCACAGAGGTGACTAGTGGCGGTGGTAAAAGGTCTGAGCTCAGGGCGGACAGACGCTGATGATGCTGGTGATGGTGCTGGGCCGCCAAAGATCCCGGGCGTGGTTGCACTGTGTTGTCCCAATCACTGTTGGATCACCAGAAAATCATAATAGTAAATACCAACATCAAGAACAAAATAAATGAAAGCAAAATAATTTCAAAACTGCAGCTACTTTGAAAAATTTACACAGCTCTTCATACATCTGTTACTCTGCATCCCATCCACTCCCCCCCACCCCCTTCCCACAGAGAGATAGACAGAGACAGTATCCTTTACAGGATATTGCCACCTGGCACTTTGAAGCGCATTCACCACGCCTAAGCCACAGACACATATACATATATACTGTTCAAAAAAAAAAAAAAAATATGTTATCCAATGCGCATTTTTATTAGTTTGTAAATAAAATAACGTACTCGAGTATGTGAAAAGCAGTCTCAAATGTTTTTTACTGTGTCCAGTGGATATGTGTGCGTGAATTGCATGGCTTTTTGCCTCCATCATGCCTTGTGTCTGATGAAACTGTTCGGCAGAGACTGAATAACATTGGACTTTGGGCACGACGACCACACTGAGGACTTGTCCTTAGGCATCACCACCGCTAAAATTGACCTCTTTGGGCAACCAACATCGTCCCTGGGCAGGTGACAATCAGGGGAGACGTGTCTGGTTCATTGACGATTCTTTCTTTTTATTGCAGCGTCATGATAAATGGTGTGGGGTCTATCACAGGTGAAATGGAGATTTAGCCCAAAATTTGTCGATGCAAGTTCTGCTGCACAGTGGTGGAGGTGTAATGGTGTGGGGAATGATTAGTTAGAACGGATGGAGTCAATTGGTGCACACTGAAGGAAGCTTGAATGCGCAACGATATTTCAAATTTTCCGACCACATTTCCTTCAATTTTGGGATGCCAACAGATATCTTTTTCAACAGGACACGTCTGACCCCATTCTGCATGGTCGACCCCGCAGTTCCTGGCTACCAATAACATTCAAACCCTTGCTTATCCATCCCTGTTTGCAGACATGAGTCCGATTGAGCACCAGGGGGAACGGCTGCAAAAACATGTTTGACGCCGAGATGTTGCTTCTGCCAACGGTTGTGATCTGTTCAAGGCACTACAGGAAGAGTGGGCATCTATCACACAGGCCCACATCAAACATGTGATTACATTCATGCCCAGGAGATGACAAGTCACTGATCCACACAAGACGAAGCCACACACCATACTCATGAGAAAGGCTGCACGCATAAACATTATTGTGACCTAGATGCACACACAAATTTGTCAACTGATGAGTGAAATCCTAAGGTATTCTTGTGTGAAATGTGAGTAATTTCACTTATTGCTTTACAAAAATTTGAGTATGTATGTTCCTTTCAGTAGCTATGCGTTTCTTTATTTCTTTTTTTTTTTAAACAGTATACATACACACATAAATATATCTTTATACTGCTTCATCATCCACAATTATTGGACTTGGTTTTGATTACAATTAAATAATAAATAGTAAAAAAATCCTTTTAATCGAACTGTAATTATAAAAGTTTCTGCTGAGCATCAATTAAAGAGTTATTTAGTTTAATATCCTTTACAGAATGTTGCAAACTAGCCCCAACTTTTGTTGGCTGTTTGTGGGTTTACTAGGCAACTTCCTATTCAGCAGTTAGCCATTGCCTTCTTAACAGTTCAACTCACTGCCGGTAATAACTAATTTCAACTGACAGAATACTAAAAATGTTTAGTATTATAATCAAACAAGTTCAGCAAACAGCTAGTTTTCAAACCTGTATGTATAGGAGAGGTGGTCTTGCATTCCAGTGTGGGCATCAAAATCTAATTTGAAAGGAAGTTTGAGAGGGGGCAAAAGTGGCGAAGGAAGGTCCAACATATAATGCTGTGGATGATTCTGTGAAAGCCCGTGGATGTGGGGGTAGAGATGCAGTTCAGCTGGTGGAGGCGACTCTGGTATCTAAGGAAGAAAAGTGAATTTCTTTTTACATTCTAATGATAGTTTGTCATCAACTCCATTGTTTTGTTTTTTCACTTGCCAATCAACATGAGATTTCAGCATTGTTTGTTTTTTCACTTGCCAATCAACATGAGATTTCAGCATTGTTTGTTTTTTCACTTGCCAATCAACATGAGATTTCAGCATTGTTTGTCCCTGGTTAGGCAGTCATATGGTGCATTTTATGTGTGTTGCACTGCCATATCATTCTCAATATACTGGAAAGTGTGGCTTGCTTTGTTATTCAGTAGCTAAAACTAACTAACCTAAGCAAAGCAAAGCTAAGCTAAGCTGAGCTAAGCTAAGCTAAGCTAAACTAAAGCTATAGCTAAACTCACTCTCTCTCTATGTGTGTGTTAGTGTGCATGTGCGTACGTGCACACACATGCTTAAAATATATGACTTCTTCTCTAATCCTGTACTGCCTTTCAGCGAAAGGTTTTGAAGAGGCATCAGGATAGCTTTGGTATGTGCTACATAGAAACTGGTATTCACAGCCTCAATATTCCACCTCTCCATCGCTTGCATGGTCGACCTCTAGCTCTGCTTCCATTATGTCATGTTACATTGTGTAAGTTGAGACTATGTAATTAAAACAGTGACCACTGCAAAGATTTCTGGAAAGAGAGATAGATATAAGGCATAGAATCATATCTGCAGACTTAATGATACATGCTGTTGGAGATCGCAAGCTGTGGAGAAGCCTGATGGCTACTCCTGCCATTTCCTGGAACACCTGATAATGATCACAAATGCTAGTGCCTACAACAAGACATAACATTCAACTGACCTGCAGGGGTAACGATGCAGAGATGACATGCCCACTCTGCTTAAGACAAGCATGACACTGACATGTGGCACACATGCTTGGGTTGACACTGCCACCACTGTCACTACTACCCCTGTCATCAGCTGCATCTCCCAAACCAGCCACAGAATCTGCACCACAATCTCCAGCCCCACCTGGCAATAAACCAGACTTTGCCAGCTCAGCATCAAGTTGTCGAGATAATTCTGGATCCAATTTTGGCTGAAACTGACAAAAGTGCACTTTTATTAAACATAAAATTTTTTAAGACCACATTTGTTTGCATTTAAGACGCTGTATACAATTATGTCGTTGCGAGTCCGACTCGTAAGCCAGCATACCGCGATCGAAACCCACTGCAGGCTGCGTGGATTTTTGTCGTGGTATGGGACGTCGCAGGTCGACCCAGCCTAAAATGGGTACCAGGATGGGCTATCCTGGGAAAGTAAAGACAGCCGGCGTAATGCTGACCACATTACCCACAGTGCTGATGGTCTGTAAAATATGGAACGCTCTGCCCGTATGCCCGATGCGCCGAAAGGCGTGAAAAGGGATTTTTACTTTTTTTTTTTTTTTATACAATTAATGTGGAAGCTGTTCTGGTTTACCAGCTAGACGCTCACCTGTTGAGCCAGACTTTTTTTTTTAATGACCTTGGCTCCTACACTGACCAAGCCTTAAATAGGTACCAGGTAAAGTACTGGGAAGTAAAGGTGGCCGGTGTGTTGTTGACCATATCATCCACCGAGTGCCGATTGGTCTAAAAAAATACAGGCCTAGTCTTACATGCCCAATATGCCTGATGGCGTGGAGAGGATCCTTAACCCTACCAAACCGCTGGCCCGATTTTCCGGGAATTTCCAAACCTGCCGCTAAGAAAGTGACGTAGGTCTAGGCTTTTCACAGTCCAACAGGTGATCGATAGTTTGGTTAATTCAGACTGTGAATACTTTCCCAGTTGAAGTGACACAGTCAGTGAGATCTAGAGAGGAGGAGAATTCTGAAAATTATAGATTTAAAACTAGATCGATAGTAAGAGTAGGGGTGTTTCCCTCAAATAGCAACATCTGGTGCTTACTTTGTGAAACAAGACTAATCCTACTAGATGGATTGGCACACAAAGGTGGAAGATTGGCGCTAGACAAAAGGTAAACCTATTTTCTACAATGTCTCAAAGTTTTATCTTATTCTAACCACTTGTTTGCATGTAACTAATTTTTTTGTACATCATGTTAGTTTTTTCGTGTTAGTGCCAAGGAGCTCAGGTTATAGGGACAGTTAGGTTCAGGGCATCAGGTCTGGTAGGGTATATACATCTTACATGACCGTAGTCCTGGTTCAATTCCCAGAACTAACAGACTACATTTCTCTTTCTAGCCAGCACAGCTGAGGTCAACCCAACCACAGAAAGATGGGAATGAAACCACTGTTTTTAACTGTCTAGGAGGTTTCTGGGATTGAAAGATATTGGAGAAGGAAAATGGTCACTCCCATCTCACTATGGTTGTGATGGAATATAACATAAAACCGGACCCTAGAGGTCGTGGAAGTGTATTGATGGAAGCACTAGCACATAAAACCCGCCATCTTTCTCTGTCTTCCGCTTGATGAATAAATATATGAAAACTTAGTCCTGTCCTTTTCTTCATGTTGTCATGCCAGGTTCTTCTTTGCCCTCCTCTTCTTCGACTACCCCCTAATGTTCTTTGAAGCGCAGTCTTTGCAATTATGTCACTTCGTGCCCAAACCAGTCTAGCTTGCTACGTTTCACCACTGCCAAAAGAGGCGCCTGATGACCTGCAAATTTGTATATTTTGTTATATTTATTAGTTTTGTGTTCTATTTAACTAATTCGTAAAATGCATCTATAACATTTACATTCGAAAGCCTGAATCCTCCATTCTATTTTCACAGTGAGAGTCCAACTCTCACATTCATGTACAAAAATGGACAATACCAGTGATGTGTAAATACTTAACAGCGAAGCATCTCATGTAAGACTCAATACTTTTACACACATGCACAATACGCAGAGCGAGGACAAATGTGCTATAATTATGTAAGACAAATTACTTTCACACACATGCACAGTACGCAGAGCGAGGACAAATATGCTATAATTACCAGTTTGAACCTGATCATCATCCTTAATATTTTTATAATTTGAAAAATTAAAATTCTTTGTGTAAATGTGCAATACAAACTATTCTTATGTTTTGAAGCCTAAAGTGTACTTTTTAGGGTCATGATTACTGTTTTACAGATTTGGCTTAAGTGTATGCAGTTCCACGAAAAAAATCCCTAATTAGTCGTCTCACAATATGCCTGTTAAGTGTGTGGTAGACTTTTTTTCTTTTTTTCCAAAACAAGACCCGGAACCCAAATGAGAAGGCAGAGACAATAAACGGAACCGACATGAGAAGGCAGAGACAATAAACGGAACCGACATGAGAAGGCAGAGACAATAAACGGAACCCACATGAGAAGGCAGAGGCAGTAAAAACACACTGAAATATCACTAACCGGGCATTGCTGGCCATGTTTTGCTTGCTTGCAGTGAACACAATTTTGCTGTAAACTCAACATTTGCTGCTGATGTTGTAGCAGCTGCTGCTGATGGTGATGTTGTACTGCTTCCCACAAGGCATCAGCATCTTTGAGTTTGCACATAGGCATCTAGGATGGCAGAAACATCAAGTACCATATTAACACCAGTGTAAATAAACATTACTGTTATGGGCATGATGCGGCAAAGTGGGCTAATGGCATAAGCTTTATATTTGTATAAGTTAGTTAACAGAATATCCTCATTGCTGACTGAATATCCTTACTGAACATCAAACCATAAAGTCCATAAGCGCACGGATCCCCTCTTTAGTAAATCCTGCAGGGTTTAACGGTTGACGACACCAGTTTTGTGTTGGTATCTTATTATTCTTAGACTTCCTGCAGTGTCTGGCCACATCACTTTTAACCTGCAGTCAGGTCATGGTCGCAGATTCACAGTCACCTGGTTCTCGCAAATGTCTCATGTATTTTTCTAAACCAATCAGCAATCGATGGGTGATGTGGTTAACATCATACCAACCACTTTTACTTCCTGGAACATGTCTTTGTATTTATTTAGCTGAAGGCTCGGTCAGTCATCACATTGACTTAAACACACGGCCACTGATCTGACAAGCAAGCAGGCAAACCATAGCTCATAAATGTAAATGTAGGTTTTTTCCTTGTAAGGATTCAAGGACCCCTCCCCCCTGTGGAGGGGGGGGGAGGGGGGGGGGGAGAAGCCAGTGCCATTCAAAAAACGTAATTAATGAGGAGTCCGCTGAAATCAGATGTACTGGGTCAGAAGCTAGCTGTAAACCCTAAAATAATTACCAATCACCCTTTTTATAGCAATGCAGAAGACATAGTTTCATCAACTTTTGTTGATGCAAGCCGCTAACCTTGCTAACAGTAACACCCCCCCCCCCCTTTTTTTGTTTTTCTAAAGAAATAATTCCACTTGTACTGCCTCCCTGTCATGTCTATTAATTTACTTCTCACATTACTTACCGATCTCAATGTCTAATGTTTAATTAAGAATAGACATCACAGCACTCAGGACACTCGCATAAGCTCTCTGTCCCCATCTTTAGCAGCAAGTGCAGAGTTCCAATTTGATGGTACCAGTAAGTCTGATTGAATATCCATCTCACCTTTCCATCAAGTTTTGATCATCGGCCAGATCCCCTGGTCACTCAGAGCATGATAATCCATCTGTGTCTCTACACTGTTCTCACTCGCTCCTAAAGGGCCCTTTAAACATCCAGCTTGTCATGCATCGATTCACCACCAAGTTGTGCAGAACCAGCCAGTCTAACCGCCTGTTAATTTCGCAATACAGTGGCATGCCATGGAGAAAATACCAGAAGGACACTAAGTACTAGGGACCTTTGAAGCTATGCTTGGCCACTCCTCATAAAGCATAACGGTCTCCATGCTCTGTGAGTCAGTTACAATTACGATATGTATGTACAGCTGATTCACAAGCCAGTGGAAGGTTGCAGTGACTTCCTGCACCTCCATTCTCAAACTAGATGTGATGTTATGTGCCAGGCTTTATTCAACTGGGATAAAACTGTCATGAACAATTTGTTCAACTTCTGATTCTGCAGCATCCATTGGTCAGTCCCTGCACTCACAGCCCAATGTGATCAGACATAAGTCTGACTCTTGACCCACTCCTCTCCCTGCCCAATGTTATCAAGCCTGCACACATGTCTAATTGTGTCTTCAGCCTGCGCCTCCCAAGACCTTCCTCTTTCAAGTCTGTGACCCTTCGCTCTGTCCAGGGCTTCATGCAGGAGGTGTTTCTTGTCTACAAATAAAAATTCAAGCTCTGGAGGCAAATAAAAAATAAAAGAAACAATTTGTAAAGCCTGGTACCTGAACAGAATGTGGTTCATCGCTCCCTATATCCTGACTGTCGGGAAAGTCATCTTCATCTTCATCCACATCATCATCATCCTCATCTTCCTCCTCCTCTTCATCATCCCCACCAGATCTGTCATCGATGTCATCATTACCAGGCTCTTCATTTAAACTTTGATCCTGTCTGATGTCACATGCAAGCAAGACATCACTAAATTCTTCCCTAAAAAAAACACACAAGTAATCCTTGTTTTAAAAAAATTACAAGAAATGCGGTTATAACTAAAAACAAAAAAAAAATTATACATTATTATCAGCATTTCAAATTTACAGTGAAAAAAGTCTGAAAAGGTACATTAAATCAAAATTAGAAAACTACATTAAAAAAATTAAATGTAACCTACTGTCTTTCGTTAAATGATGCCCTGAATGTAATGTGTAGTAATGCCCAGAATGTAATGTGTAGTAATGCCCAGAATGTAATGTGTAGTAATGCCCAGAATGTAATGTGTAGTAATGCCCAGAATGTAATGTGTAGTAATGCCCAGAATGTAATGTGTAGTAATGCTCAGAATGTAATGTGTAGTAATGCTCAGAATGTAATGTGTAGTAATGCCCAGAATGTAATGTGTAGTAATGCTCAGAATGTAATGTGTAGTAATGCTCAGAATGTAATGTGTAGTAATGCCCAGAATGTAATGTGTAGTAATGCTCAGAATGTAATGTGTAGTAATGCCCAGAATGTAATGTGTAGTAATGCCCAGAATGTAATGTGTAGTAATGCCCAGAATGTAATGTGTAGTAATGCCCAGAATGTAATGTGTAGTAATGCCCAGAATGTAATGTGTAGTAATGCCCAGAATGTAATGTGTAGTAATACCCAGTATGTCAGAATATTTCCTATCTATCCTACAATGAACCAATGCATCTAATTTGTGGAAAGGTCCAAACTATCCAAAGAAACATTCTTTTTGTCTCAGAACTTGTAGAACCAGAGATTTTATTTTAACATCACTTCAGATTTGTTATAATATAAATATCTATTAGCAGACTGCAATTCATCTTGTTTAATTTTCATCAACCTCAGTTGTTTTTAAACAATCTTTAAACAATTCTTTCTGATTCAAATGAAAAGTGAAAGCTCTCTCACCACACACATTTTGTTTCTATCACAAGACTCGATGGTATTTTTAGAGTCATAGTATCATCATCATCAATCAGCAAGTCCTTTACAGAACGTCGCTCTCTTCGCGGCACGCCTAAAAGTATCCCTTTTCATAGCCAGCTCTCTGGCCGCATGCGCTTTCAGTGCCAATGCATCCTCAATGTCTTGTATCCATCTATGCGGTGGTCGACCCCTGCCTCACCTTCCACAAACTGCACCTTCCATCACCGTCTTTTCCAAGCCACCATGACGCTTTAATTGGCCAAAATACTTCAGCTTCTGGGACAGGATGCTGTTTATGAGCCAATTCTCCTTGATGTTTAGCTCGTTCAGAATGTCGATGTTTTTCCTCTTCCTGATCCACGGTATTCTAAGAATGTTTCTACAACATTTCAATTTAAAAGCTCCAATCTTTTCTTCAATGACTAAGTGAGAGTCCAAGACTCACACCCGTAAGTTGCCACGGGAAAAATGCATGATCTCAAAATTTTTACTTTAACCAATTTACAAGTGCTTTGTCATAGGTTCTTCATGCTATTTAATCTCTGCATTGCTGATGCAAGTCTTCTTCTGACTTTTTTTTAGCATTCGCCACTGTTGTTCACTAAAGAGCCCAAGTTTTTTATATCTGTTATATTTTATATTTCTTCATTTTCAATCATAGTAACACTGGCTAATAACATATTTCTTTGTGGCTCAGTGGCCAAATGTCTAAGTCCCCGAAGTGAGAGATTTTATGACTGACCTGGGCCCCTGTGTCAACTTAGATAGAGTGGTACAGAAAATGTTCTGAGAAGTAGAGGAAGCTACTAGCAAGACAGTCGCCACATCACCCACTGAGTGCTGACAGGTCTACAACAACTGGTTAGCACCAAAAACCCAACACATATGGTATGAATGTTATTTTTCTTTACTATGCTTGCTTTTGTTTTATCATGTGGAAATACATTCTAGCACTTTAGTCTGTTAACAATGTTCAAAGATCACACATGTCAGTCCACATTTTTTTTTAGCTGATCCAAAAACCATGAGTTGTAACCTCTTTTGCTCAGTACTCAGTACTATGGATAACGCAACCCTTCGACCCCAATTACATAAAAATACCATAAATCTGGGAAATAGGTGGCTTTTCAGTACACCCCCAAGCACAAACTCGGACTACAAGGAGTTTGTTAACCAGTCGCCTCGCAGGCTGGTTTAACCAACTGAGCTAGCTCGTCGGGCTGTCAGTCTATCTAACCGCACATATTTTTTTTTAAAGGAAGCATGTCAAACCCAGAGTGTCTGGTGGCCAAATTTTTTAATACACATCGTCATTCATTCATTTAACAAAACACAAACAGAAACACTAATGGTTATCATAATGTTGAAAAGTAATAACAAAATGTTCCTTTTCAATTGTCTGAGCCGCACTAGAGTTTATATAGAGCTACTTATTTGATATACATGACGTAAATTTTTATATTTATAATTAATTTCACTAAAAGTATATTTCACTTTAATCTATATGAATCATTGTAAACATTTTTTTTTTTCAATTTTATAAGTTCTTTTTAAACAATGTCTAATACATTTTCTAATGGTCTCTGCAAAACGAAACTTTTATATATATATATATATATATATATATATATATATATATATATATATATATATATATATATATATATATATATATATATATATTTACCCGCAAGCACACATGAGCACACACACAAAATCAGTGTTTGTAAAAACACGGCCCTCTCTAATTGATACTTTAAAAAAACATACTGCAACAGCATGACTTACTTTAAAACCTGTTCACATTCATAATATCTGCTGATCTTGTCATCATCAGTCATAGGTGACACACAGCCACTGCTGGAGTTGGTGCTAGACATGGATGGAGGTGTGATGTCCATGACACTTTGGTGGTGCTCCAATGCAAAACTGAACGGACCATGCAAAGGAGGCATTTCTCCTTTCTCATTGTTGATAATGCCGCAAGTTATCATGTGAGTTATTGTGCATTCATCACATGTACATCTGAAATTGAAAGCATTTGAAGTAAATATTGCATGCTGAGAGAGTCCTAAACAGAATGATGAGAGATATGCTAAGAGCCTGTTGATGATGACACTGATGACAGATCTGGTGGCGATAAGAGGAAGAGGAGAAGGATGATGATGATGATGTGGATGAGAATGACATCACTGGTCTGGGTTTTCAATGGGGCAGGTAAAGTCTAACCAATGATGACAGATGGCCACTGCATGATAATCTGTTTGGGGTTCATTATGAATATCCTAACCCAGATGATATCACAGGATAGTCCAACATTTTGGAGGGTGGTAAGACTCTGTGTTTCTTGGCTTTCTGATGCTTTTAACGACCCCAAAACATGTAGATCTGGGCCTAACTCCAACCCACCTAAGTCCCACGAGAGAGTGCAGCCTAGGTTTCACGACTGCATGCAGCCTATCTACCACCCCCTGGAATTATTATACTGTCCCGTGACCTGTGGATTTCCTGTCTGGGGTAGGATATTAATAAGGCACCCTGTTTAGTCATAAAAAAGAGAGGATGATTATGGACGGCACAGGCAAAAATATAAAGCTGGGCAAGAGGGTAAGACAAACAGGAAACCTTAAACAGTTTTCATCAGCATCAAATGAAAGAGCAAGAACTAAGTTTGGTGCAGTGGTTGGCAGAAGTGGACGTCCAACAGCTGACAGGCGAAAATGTTAACAAAGACACTGAAATTGTTTACATCCACAGCTCGCTCTATTGTCAAGAGAAAGGTAGAGTCAGATTGTTAGGCCGTTGCTGAGCAGAATGGAGCCTCTAGGTCTACAACATCAAGTATGATAGAGGTGCAGCAATCAATGTGGCTTGGAGGTGGTGGGGTGACACTCAGGTCACAAGAGCAATTGGTGTCTTAGTCAGTCTGTACCAGGTAAAATGCAAAATGTACACTTGGCATGAGTGGGTACCAAGTTTAGATAGTGTTGTCCTAAAAGGATGAACCATCTGAGTTATGCTGGACTGCAAGGCAATGACTGCATGAATGAACGAATGAATGAGCAGGGTTGTTGGCTCGGGCAGCTGAGGACTCATAATGGACAAAGGAGATTTTTAACTATCTTTCAATGACAACTAGCTGAAGACATACAAAAAGATGAACCAACATAATTCAAGTTCTGTCCCAGTAAGGAGGGGGACGTAATGTAGGAAAATTCAAAGAATTTACAAACAATTTATTACCAGAATTATCACAATTTCACACCCTGTGGCATTTACTGGGGAAGACAAAATACAGAAAGGTTTGCCCAGTCTGCAATTGGGTTTTAATGTTCAATGGCAAGGATTCTTCTTCATTGCGTTCATTGGCGGTAAACTACAGCAAAAGGTTCTGGCTGTTCATCCACTTCTGGACTTTCAGTTTTGTTCCAGAAATTGAGTTTTGCATACAGGTCCATTTTACAGATCTGGCTTTATTTGTATGCAGACTGTTGGTTCCTTGCCTTTTATGCAGATGCACTCGGACTTCCCAAAAAAAAATCCTTAATCTGTCGACTGTTAAGACTCCTTGTTTAGGAGACAATGAGTTCGACTATTTACCCCCCCCCCCCCAACGGAGCCCCAGATGCCATAAGGGAGGGCGGGGGGACAAGGATTCAAAAGGTTAAAAAAGGAATTTAATTCAAATTATACAAACTATGCTCGATAAACATACGCATCATAATAAAGGTCACATGCAGGAAGAAAAAGAAGGCAACAGGGACAAAACACTTCACAGTGTTTAATATTAGGAGTGATGATGGTATGGACTTTATTTTCAAAGGGTTTAGAACTGATCAGGCAGGCCCACCTAACATTCTGAGTGGGACAAAACAAGAGGGAGATCTACAACATAATAATATCCCTTAATGTGGAGGTGACAAATGATTATTATTTCACAGTACACTAACCTCTCCCTCATGCAGTTATGGCAAAGTATTCTTTCTGTGGAAGACTTGTGGCCTGACATTAAATTTCTCATAGTTTCTGATAAGGCCTCATCCATCACTGACTCCTTTATGACATCTTTTAAGTACTGCCTCTGTTGTGATATGAAACTTTTTGCTTTGCTTGTCACCTGTTTTTGAGTATTCTGCAGAAAATGGTTTCCACATTAACACAAGTCTGAACAATTCCCACTGAGAATTACTGAGTGTATACATTTTAACGCTTAAAATATTAAGGAATTCAACACACGATTTTTAGACACTGCATATCTTATTTCTCAACCCCTCTTATCAGTTTGGTGTGAAAGGCACCTGAATTAACCAGACTACTTTTTTATTTATTTATTTAGTTGTATGTTGTTATCACTCTTTATACATAAAGGTAACTATGTTTTTAGATACATTTGCAATCACAGGAAGAGTTCAATACTAGACTTCACTAACCCCAACAAGAACCTCTAGCAGCAGAGGGTTTTCCCCTCTGTTGTGTCTCCCCTGTAAAGTTGTAAATGGACTTGCCTGTTGCAAGAAACCTACAGATTCACAGGTAGACTCAGGACAGCCAAAGGTTATGGAAATAAAACCTAAATGCTTGGATGTACTGAGCTTTAGACTTGAGGAAACAATGCAACAAAATCTGTTTCATGGTGATGCTCCAATTTTTAAAAGAGATTATGGTGTTTATAATGGGGGTTTTAAGCGATGAAACACAAACCCCGGTAGACCCTTTATAATGTAGTCCCTCAGGAAGATAAAAAAAACTTTTTTCCTCTTGAAAAGTTAAAAACAATGAAACTAAGTTTTAAAAAAAAGCTCCCTATATTTTCACATCTGTGCTGTCAGTGCAAAATCACGGCAAAAACATAAAGTAGAGGTCAAAGATAGCGGCATGAAATGACAGGCTTTGTATAAATTAAGTCACTGCATTATAAAATGGCTAAGCTAATTTTCTTCCAGAGAAATCTCTGACAAACCCATTTTACACATGCGACAACCATAGACCCAGAATGGCCCAAAGAATATCCTCACCACTGTGGACACTGAACCCCAGCCACTGCTGTGGCGGAAAAATTACCAAAAACACACCCTTTCTGCACAAGTGATGCATGAGTTATAAGATGGTAGACTCATACAAATGAATACTAAATGAATGACGTGGTCAGCATTATGATGGCAGCCTGTTTTCTAGGACACGACTTGGTACCCATTATAGGCTGGGTTAACCTAAGAGCCAAGGTAGATTTTTTTTTTAAATCCCACTCAATGCAAATTTGAACCCTAAACCTCCAGGCCAGCAGGTGAGTGTCTAGCCCCTACATTACTGTGACTCCCCTTTAACCCCCAAATGGGATGTCAACTGACCAAGAGAACTCACCCCTCTCTTAATATGATACAATATTTACCTTAAAACCCCCCCCCCCCCCTCCTTTTCTCCACAAGCGGCAGATCATTTGCCGGTATGTTCCCAAAATTCATGTTCAGAAATATTTTGAAATGCCAAACCTTAACTTCCTCCTGGCAATAATTTTCAATAAGCTGCTGGCAGTCTCTCCATTTTACAACCACACTGGACATTTCTTCCTGAAATTTGAGCAGATGCGTGCGAACAGCATGGTAAGGGTCATTCTTGGACCTGTTATACTGTATAGAGCCTTGCCTACAACAGACAAAAGCAAACCTCACTGTTAGAACTAATCATCTGTGTCCAATATTTAAAGTATTAAATCAGCAAATATTTCTAGGCTTCTGTTTTAAATTATCACATCTTCATTCAAAAAGTCATCAGTTTAGACAGATAATTTTACTCTGTCATGTTATTTAGAGATGAGATATATTAGATGCCCTGCAAAAATAACAAGAGATACCCCCATTTAGGCCTTTTTATTTAAGTGAGAAAGTTAACAGCACTCATCACCCAGTGTCTAAACAAGGTGCAACTATTCACCTTGAATGCTGAATGTTGAATTAAGAATTGACATCACAGCGCTTGGGACACTCCCATAAGTTCTCAGTCCCCATCTATAGCAGCAAGTGATGAGTTCCAATTCTGATGGTACCAGTAACCGTCTGATTGAACATCCGGCTCATCCTCCTTCCCCTCAGTGTGTCGGGCTTTGGCTAGATCCCTTGGTAACTCCTCGCAGCGCCGTTTTCCTCAGACCGTAATGATCTATCTGCGCCTCCTCACTGTTCAGTCGCTCACAGTATTCACCTCAAAGTATCTACTATAGTTAATTTTTTTAATAATACCGTAAAAACAAAAAGTGTCAGTACTGCATATGGAGGGGGGGGGGGGGGGGGGGGGGCCTGTCCCCATAAAAAAAATATATCTAACTGGGCATAAAATTATTATTGCCAAAAAAATGGTGGCTGTTTGTCATAACTATCTACAAACTTCACTATCTCCTTATGCAATTCACACAAATGCTTATCACCAAGCAGTCTAGGTATTTATGTGTGTGGGGCTTGTAACTACTTTTTTTTTTATTGCACACAATGCCCTCTAATTTTACACATCTGTCTGTTACTTTTTTTGAAGTGCCTGTCAATACATGATTTCCAGTCAATATGGCCGACAGGCTACTGATTGTTTTTAGTCGTGGCAAAATTCTGCTTCTGACAAAGGTTAGCCGTTGCATTTTACCTCATATGTATATAGTTCTGAAGCCAAGCAACTGAGAATAGTGCATGGCGCAACACTGTGAGCTGCAGATTTCATCTGAAATACCTTTCGACTGTGCCTAATGTGGTTTGTACTGTGAACTGCAGATTCAGAAAATGGCAAGGGGCCTGTTGCCAGAGAACTAGTGATTCCTTATGCAATTAACTGTGTGTGCAACTACTGACCTGTTGTAACTGCTGCCAGACTGTTTGTGTTGCATTCTTTATAGCTGCCTTATGCATTTAGTGTGTTTATGTATTTGTTTGCTGAGAGTGCAGTCTGTGTCAACTATGTCAAAAGGGACAGTGATTGACATTCTGCATGTTTTTTTTTTTTTTTTGGCACATAAACGTAGCAACTATGGACTGACCCATTTGCTGTGAAGTAGGAAGTGCGATTATCAGATTACCTATCAGGACATAAGTTTTTTGCCCTTTTATTTTCCAACACAACACAGGGCCTCAACCAACCATTGCCAAGAGACATACTACACCTCCTACCAATGCCTTCATGTGTGTACTTGTAGAAATGACTTCATGTGTTATTATACAAAAGTCCCTTTCAGACAATTAACCTGATCAAAATATCTGATGTGGAGTTATAATGTTACAATGTAATAATTAATCAACATACCTTAGTTGTTCTAGTATTGTTGGCCCACTGCTACTAACCACAGGATCACTGTGGGCTATTGCATGAAACAAATGTTTGTTCAAAAGCTCCCAGGTTACTTTAAACTGTGCTAGGTGTTCACTCTGCAACATTACAAACATGTAAAATATCTGCTGATGGTGAAAACAACATTTATATACAAGTGCATTAGTTCATTCATCTATAAAACACATGTATAAATATTGTAAAGAATTTTAAAAGGTGTAAAGTCGAGAGAATCATGCATTCCACCGGTTTGCATCTCACATGGTTAGGTCTCTTACAGCAGAACAGTTAGCCACCTGCTAAGACTGTCACACAAAGCACATGCTTCATAGCTCCAGTGATGATCCCTACAGATCTTTGGAGTAAAAAAACTGTACCTGCAAACCAGACGACAGTCTGTGAAATGAACCCAATAAAATTCAAAAGGAGGGGAAACATCTTAACCAAACAGCAACAAAGAACCCCACTAAAGAAATGAAGATCTCTGGACTTTACTCTTGTTCCAGAACTTGAATTTAGCATGCACATCTATTTCACAGATCTGGCTTATCTGTATGTAGACTGTTGGTTTCTCTCCACTCAAGTAGATAAACTACAACTTCAAAGGAGACCCCTCTACTTAGTAGCCTTTTACAAGGTGCCTGTTGAATTTTAAAAGGTGTAAAGTCGAGAGAATCATGCATTCCACCGGTTTGCATCTCACATGGTTAGGTCTCTTACAGCAGAACAGTTAGCCACCTGCTAAGACTGTCACACAAAGCACATGCTTCATAGCTCCAGTGATGATCCCTACAGATCTTTGGAGTAAAAAAACTGTACCTGCAAACCAGACGACAGTCTGTGAAATGAACCCAATAAAATTCAAAAGGAGGGGAAACATCTTAACCAAACAGCAACAAAGAACCCCACTAAAGAAATGAAGATCTCTGGACTTTACTCTTGTTCCAGAACTTGAATTTAGCATGCACATCTATTTCACAGATCTGGCTTATCTGTATGTAGACTGTTGGTTTCTCTCCACTCAAGTAGATAAACTACAACTTCAAAGGAGACCCCTCTACTTAGTAGCCTTTTACAAGGTGCCTGTTGGGGGCAAGGGAGGGGGCAGCGGGGAAAAAAGGCCCCGAAACTCACACAGGGAAAGTGGATCTAATAATCTGGGCATGCATGGGTCCTGGGTTATTTAGCCACTGTTTAGCTCCAAGGGCACAAGTTATAGGGAAATCTGTGTGCACAAAATACAGAACAAGCCATGTGTATCTACCTGGCTACAGTGGAAGAGAGAGAGAATAATATTAACACAAAAAAGACTACCTATCATAGAGGAAGACAGCTACACAAATTTCATACAAAGACAACACAAATATTAGAGAAGTAGACATGTATTTCACACAAATATTTGTCACCCAAATATCACTGCCACAAAGTACGGGAAGTAATTTATTTCGCACTATTATATTGTATAAGAAAGAAAACCAATGTACTTCACTTAAACATATGACTGGCACAGTAGAAGAAAACTAGTGTTCTTCATTTAAACATATGACTATAACAGTAGAAGAAAACATGTACTTAATCAAATTATGAACACCAGATAAAGAAGTCTGGTATTTCCCACAAACAAATGAATAACATAAGAGAAAGAAAACATTTTTTTTAAATAGTATTTTTTTCTATAAATTTCACAGCCTTTCTGAGAGAATAACATTTAGTGATTTTACAGTCACTATCTGGGTGAAAATCCACGAGAAGCAAATCCCAGAAACCCTGTTAAACCATACACTTTTAATTTGTCAAGTATGTTCTCATCATTCATCTATAAGACCACATCTCAACAGCTTCTGCAGAATTTCTTACGATTATCACTGTTCAAAATTCACTTTCATAAATCAGGAACCACATTTAGTAAATACTAAGCAACTGAATGGCTGCACAAAACATACAATAAATGGTAGTTTACAATACATGAAAACAAATGTCTACAACATGTAACAACATTTACACACTTGCTGATGTTTACTTCTTCTTCTGCATAAGGGCACCCAAAGGTTTTGAAGTAACCTTATGTGTACTCTAAACACACACACATAAGAGAGAGAAAACTGATGCACTTCATAGATGTTAATATGACAAAACTCACCAGTCCTTCCAAATACTGGGCAAGAAGGTGAGCTTTATTAGTCAGCTGATCGTAATGAGAAAGCAGTGAGCTAGTGAAATCATAGGCTAATTCTGGTGTGGTGTAGCCGTTTTCCTTAAGTTTAACCAGAAGGCTTGTTTTTATGTCAGTCACAATCTCTCGAACCTGAGATTCAAGCTGCAGAAATAACTGGTGTGGATCTTGGCTACAAAGTCTGGGGAAAACCAATTTGTTTAAATGTACTGTAACCAATGTGTAAATGTTTATTCTGAAGTTTTCTTCTTCTTCGTTCAGAGAATGTAAATTTTTTGTTGCCCTGGTTAGCCTTCCCGGTTAGTTTTGTAGGACACTGGTGTGTGGTCAACTTTGTTTCCTAGTCCACAGCTAGTGCCACCCATCAGGACTGTCCACAGTAGCCACATAATGCTGGTCAGCCCTCAAGATAAAGGCAGGAACAGAATATGAGCATTCCCCGTCATCCAAAGAGGTTTCTATAAAACCAATTCATAGTGCTCTAGTACTGGGCTCAACCAAAAAATTGCCACGTCCTACTCATGACATTCTAAACCCTTTCCGTATATTGAGCAAATGACTCATCACGGGTTGCACTTTTAAAAGCCAGCAGGAGGCAGTCCGCAGACCTGGGATATTGATTACCTATACAAAATGAGTGCTTTGCTTCTTATGCACGTCAGACTTATTGCGGTGGACTTACATGCCCACTATGGTTTCATCAATGTGAAGCTATTATTCTTATCTTTATTTAGCCCATCAATTTTTTAGCGGGTTTCAGGAGTGCCATATTATGATTGTCCCGATCTTTTTTCTTTCTCTGAATTTTTCTTCTTTTGCGTTCGGCCTTTAAAAAACAGGTGGCACTTTGTCATTTACAGATAAGGACGTGATATTTGAGCCTTTCGACCCAACAAATCTGATTTAAGCAACCCCTAATTAGTTGCTTATAATGTCATGCTTGTAGTAAAGAGATCGTAAGTCTCCACCCTCCCATTTTTCTTTACCGCAGCCCCAGAATGCTTGTTAGGGGTGCAGTGGCTCTACTCCCCCCCCCCCCCCCCCCCCCCCATGTGGCCCTGAAATGCACATGGGGACAGATTTGCTTCATACATACATGTCGATGCACCAGGCCTGGGCTTATGCTAGGCAAGACCTATCTAAAGCTGTCCGTGGTCACCCCACAAACAGTTCCCCCAACCAGGAACACGGCCAATGTCGATAGAATTTACTTCTCCGTTGAAGTCAGACTGCACCTGCATGGGAGGCAAGGAAGGAACAGTCTGCATACAAATAAGCCAGAACTCTAAAATGCCACACTCAAGTACTGGAATAGGACTAAAGTCCATAACTGGAGGAACAAACAGGACTTTCCACCAGAGTTAACAGCTGGTGAATGCTAAGAATAATAAGCTAATGAAAAACTGCCTGTGACAGAAGATAGAAAAGTATAGTGTACCTGCACTGGCCAATAAACATATGGTGAGTTGCAACTTATACAAAGTGTTTAAAAAATGTGCCTGTTTGTTTTAACAAAAACCACATTATATTGATAATTTACTCAATACCCAAATGTGCTTTCCACTCATCTACTTTAAACATACTGACTCCCTTTGGGAGTTCTGGGACCCCATTTTGGGGAAAACAAGAACAGACCCAGGCTATCCTCCGAATAACGGTCCTAAATTATTGTGGCAGAAAATATAAACTAACACTAAACTAGATGGCTAGGACTCACGGGCAAATAAAATAAAGGAAGCTGCAGGAGATGCGGTAGCTGCTGCTCGCGAGTCCCAGCCATCTAGTTTAGCCACAATCAATGCCGCGTGAGCGGAAGTTGCCAGAAGTTCGCAATTCAGCGGTGGAGTTATAGTCCCCGAAAGTGCGCAATTAACATGTGACTGTGGCCCTGTTAGGGTATATTTTCCGCCTTGATAATTTAGGACCGTTATTTGGAGGATAGCCCAGACCCACTACCTTACCAAAAGACTTGACTAATTGGCAGCTTCTTCGAAGTCAAGTGTATCTGCCTGAGAGGCAAGGAACCAACAGTCTGCATACAAATGCCTCAGATTTGTAAAATGGATCTGCATGCAATACTCAGATTCTGGAACCAGAACCTTCCGTTGGAGTTTACAGCCGGTCAGCGTGAAAAATAATAATAATAAAAAGAAGAAATTTACTGACATACTTGTCTATAAGAAATTTCAGTCGTTCACCTTCCCCTCCAGAAAAGATCATTTCTTGGCTAGTGTACAGATTCTTAACCAAACAACGCAGTTCCACCCAATTTTCTTGCAGTTCCATCGTCTCTTTTTCGAGGATGCCACTAAAAAAAATTAAACATTAGTTCATTACATTGCTCCATTGCTCAGATCCAATGTTAACTTTGACGTAAACACTGCCTATATTCTCCTGAAATGAAAACAAACATTTCTATTCACCGAAACATGCAAGAGACAAGCATACATTTCCTCAGAGCAGCACACAGTAGTTTAAAGAAAAGCATCAAGCAATTTTAAAAATGATTGCATTTGTACTTGTAATAATCCAGATTTTCAGCTAAAACAGTCATGAAAACAAGTGTTAACAACTTCATGTGGAGAGTGATCTCTGTTGTGTCATCAAAGGAATAAAGGCAGGACAAAACATAAAAGAAGAAAGGAAACAGAGTAAATCTAAACAGATGGTTAGGACATGGGATGAGCTGCATGATGATCGCAAAAGATGGACAACTGACATCAGCTGGATGAGAGCCTGTGCTCCACTGGGGGATTAGGGCCGAAGAAGATGAAACAATGTGGTCAACACATCCAGGCTGTTTATTTAACATTCTGCCTTCCCCTTGTTTTTCAGACAGCAGATTTACTACCACAGGTCATTAAGTTTCCAAATGTATTCCCCTCACAACATGCCCAAAAAGGCTTTTACTGTTAACATCTAATTTCTCTTATCAAATCAGTTGACAACAGAGATGCAATCTGGCCTGTTCCAACCACAATGAAGACTAAACTGTATGGTATACGAGAGGATATGTACTGCACTATAGCTTTCATAAAGGGCTCCTGATATATGTTTTTTGACACAGAAGAAGAAGAAGAAGAAGATCAGTGTTTATGTTTTCTTGAAAAACTGCCTTGGAGGTGTGGGGGTGGTCAGGGGGTAGAACTCTTTGCTTAGAAACCATTTTCACTGCCTTTAGATCAGGGCTCTTCGGCTAAGTTTACTAACAGGCCAAAATGCCAAAAACAGGGATCGCCGTGGGTCAGATGCCCAAGCCCCAGCATAGAAAGATCACTAAAACAATAAAGCTGACAAGGATCTGTGGGCTATAACCACCTGTGAGGCTTCTGCGGGTCAGATTCAGCAAAAAAGACCACCAGCCGAATAGCTCTCTTTAGATGTTTCTTAGGTTGCCTCCTTATTGTACATGTGTCACATACATATGACCATTTATGTTGTATTTAGCAATCTTTTTCACTTAAGCATAATACATTTTGATTCTATTTTATTAAACATGTAATACTGGTTATGAAATAAAATATCTTCACTAGCCACCTCATATGGTTCAAAACCTACAATTTCAGTTCACAATATTTTCATAACTTGCCGTTCTTCTTGACACCTGGCGCATGATAAGGGATCTGCACATGCTTTCCCATGTAAAAAAGGCAGATCATAAGAAGCCTGGGGAAAATTTGCTTCCTGCAAAATGTAAAAATGAACAATATTTCACAATTCAGTTACCTAAATCATTTCTTCCAAAACATAATGCATCATTAACATAAAGACAATCTTACATGCATGTGTTTATATTTCCAGCCTTATCGAGAAGAGTCAAAGTACAGGACACATTGATACATCTTGAGGTTTATTGGGAACACAGTAACAGGGGAATATTTCCATGTATAGAAGAATCAGCACACAGGTCAGCGGTTGATCAACCTGCCAATTTTTTAAATCTAACGACGCTTTCACAGGGGTCGCCTAAGACCATTGGAAAACATGCATCCATTGTAGTTATGAAGGAAAATAACTGTTTTGGGGTTGTCATTACAAGAGGGAACTGTATTAAAAGGCTGCAGCATTATAAAAGCTAAACAGCCACTGCAATAGGTGATACTGTCAAAATCAAGCCAACCATCAACATCGCGTAGCAGGTCCTTTGCAAAGTGTCATTCTCATCACTATTTGCCTGAAACTAGGTCTCTCACCAGCCTTGTGCACTTTCCTGCCATAGGTGTCAATTTTATCCTGTGCCCATCTTCGTGGCTGGGTGGCCGCTGCCTCTTTTTCCTGATTCCACACCTTCTGCTCATAAGTTGATTGGGATGGTAATGTGGTATTTTTCACTTGTTTTCCGCATTGACGCGGCATTGACTATGTCAGCCTTTGGCCACCTTTTAGATTGCCAGGGCAAGTGAGTGCCCTGCTCTGCGATCAATCAATCCTCATCGCACCCAAAGGCACATAAGGCAGAGACAAACTGTCGCCACTCAATTCGATCCTAAGCCATTCTCTCTATCTCCAGTTTTGTCCATTGCATAGCCTTATGTTCAGCCTCAAGTGCCTCCGAACCTGCTTCATTCTCTCCGTCCTTGTATTGTCCATTGCACTGCCTGTCCCTGCCGATTCTCTTTCTTCATTCTGAGGATGGGTCAATCCACCTCTATCTTCGTTTTTTGATTTCTAAATTTACATTTTCAAAGTCTGTCATTTGTTGTAATCTAGAATCTGTGATACTCCTGAGAAATGTCAGAAAACATGGTATTCATCTGAGACCAGGTTGATTCAATTACTGACAGAAGTCAACTGTTATTCTTACACATAACTACTGTTAGCGTTCTCAACTTAAATCACAACTGATTATAACGACACATAACTACCAAAGGTATTAGCTGTCCTCAACTTAAATCACAACTGATTATACTACTGTTTTCCTCTCGACAATACTATTTCAGGCTTAACAACTTCCCCCTCCATCATTTAACACTACTATGGGCTGAAACAAATGCCCACTCCACCATAACACTACTACAGGCTGCAACAAATGCACACTCCACCATAACACTACTACAGGCTGCAACAAATGCCCACTCCACCATAACACTACTACAGGCTGCAACAAATGCCCACTCCACCATAACACTACTACAGGCTGCAACAAATGCCCACTCCACCATAACACTACTACAGGCTGCAACAAATGCCCACTCCACCATAACACTACTACAGGCTGCAACAAATGCCCACTCCACCATAACACTACTACAGGCTGCAACAAATGCCCACTCCACCATAACACTACTACAGGCTGCAACAAATGCCCACTCCACCATAACACTACTACAGGCTGCAACAAATGCACACTCCACCATAACACTACTACAGGCTGCAACAAATGCCCACTCCACCATAACACTACTACAGGCTGCAACAAATGCCCACTCCACCATAACACTACTACAGGCAGCAACAACTGCCCACTCCACCATAACACTACTATGTGCTGCAACAAATGCCCACTCCACCATAACACTACTATGTGCTGCAACAACTGTCCCCTCCACCATAACAATACTACAGGCTGCAACAACTGCCCCCTCCACCATAACACTACTACTACGGGCAGCAACTGCCCCCTCCACCATAACACTACTATGTGCTGCAACAAATGTCCACTCCACCATAACACTACTACAGGCTGCAACAAATGCCCACTCCACCATAACACTACTACGGGCTGCAACAACTGCACCGTCTTCAAAAATATTGCCAGAGGCTATAACAACTGCCCTCTCCTGCCAAAGCTATAAGAACAGTATTTACTTTCTATCCGATCACAACAACAGATTGTGACGGCCCTGGTTGTCCTGAAAAGGAACATTGTATAGAGGCGTTATGACCTGGTGTTTGTTTGGCTTTTTCCGGCGGCTTACAGATCGGCAACCAAGCAGCAACAGGGCACCAGCACAGCGACCAGCACGAGGCAAGCCAAGCACCAGCAACAGTCAGCTAGTACCCGTCGATATCATCGCAAAGAGATCTGGATCACACCAGAACCCAAAACCACAATCACCACAGCACAGCAAGGAAGCAAACAACCGTAATATCAGGTGTGACTACACACCACAAATAAAAGGAAACCATGTAAGACAGCTAAGGACCCTTCTTCGATATAGCAGGCCTCCGGGCGGCTGAAAGAGGATCAAATTTGGAATTTTTGTTGGACAAATTGGAATTGGAACTATCCCACATTAGAACATGCTCTAAAAATTGTTCCCCTCAACTCCTAAAATATTATTATAGGCTGTAACAACTATTCCCTTTCTCCCCCACAATACTTAAGGCTGTAACAACAATTGCTTCTTATTACACTCCCTCCCTGCCTCCGTGGGCAACCCAGGGTTATGTAGAAAGACAACATCTGACAGTCCATTACTGAAAGAAAACTGCTGATAGAGACGTCTGGCAGTCTCTCTGGCAAACTTCCACACCCCAAGGTAGAAGAGGAGAGACTAAGTAAGTAAGTACACCCCCTTCCACACACACACAAAAAACTACAAGCTCTGTAACGACTATACCCCCTAACCACATAATACTACTAGAGGCTCTACTGAACTGTACTGTACAGAATAAAGGAAAGTAAAGATCCCTTTTCACGCCTTAGGGGCATCGAGCATATGGTAAGAGCGTCCCATATTTTTACAGACCAATCGGCACTGGGTGGGTAATGTGGTCAGCATTACACCCGCCGTCTTTACTTCTCCATGGCAGCCATCCTGGTACCCATTTTAGGCTGGGTCGACCTGCGACGCCCCATACCATGATAAAAATCCACACAGCCAGCAGTGGGTTTCGATCGCGGTACGTTGGAATTACGAGTCAGACTCTTAACACCTTAGCTATGGACGCCGCACTGTACAGTATAGCAACTGATTAATAACAATAGTACTTTTTCCCCAGCCCAATTAATGATTTATAGAGAAATGTGAACAGGACAAAAAAAATTATCTTTCTAGAATACTTACAGCTATATGGATTTTTTTTTTTTAATTAAACAATGTTTGAAGAAATAAAACAAAACTATAATTTGTTTCTACAATTTTCAGTGAAAATATGTTGCTAGCTCACCAAAAATGACTGGAGATTGCCTGCCTCTTTCCTACAGCTTGCACAAGTCCATACCTCCAACTTTAGCTGAAATGATTACAAAAATTAATATACATATATACATAAACACACAAACAAGCAAAAATATGCACACGCATGCATATATATACTGCAGTTGGCAAAAGGACAAACAAGCAAGTTATAGAAAGGAAACTGACTCTACAAAGTGCCACCATTCGGATGAGGATCACCCGTGGAGAGGTCCCAGAAACCCTGTTCAACTGTCAGGTTATATTAGAGCCCGCAGCAACAACCAGAGTGGGGCTTCAAATTCACACAAAAAAAATTCCCACATGGGGATGAAAAATTGAGAGAGGAGACAGAGACGTTTTTAAATGGACTATGTGGCATAGATTGCCACTCCCGAATTGGACTTAACAATCATAGCAGACACTGCTGCCAAAAATCAGTGGCACTGCTTTCCATAGGGACTGATGTTTGCTGACACATTCATTTTACTCATATTCTAGTTGTGTTGTCATCTGTCTCCATTTCTTATTTCTTGCTTACGCTGCTTTTGCATTACTGACCAAGTGAAAGATACAATATTCTACAAGTTGACTTTCAGATAAATCATCTAAACTGATCTAGATAACTTTGAAGATATTGCCTGCTGCTATTACTTCCCAGGAACTTTCACAGTACACATCTAAGACTTGGCTCACTAAAATGCCAAGTCACTGGAAAAAATGTAATTTGAAAGAACACATGTACCGCTGGTTCTGTAAGCTAAAGGCTAGCTAGCTACTGCACTAATACCTGACACCCACGAGCTAAAGAAGTTCCTAAACCTCTAGTCATTTGTCATGCACGTAACAACAATATCCAGTTTAAAATACAAGATTTAGGAGCCTTATATTACAAAGCACAACTTACCGAGTTGTAAGACTGGGTAGTAGCCACACTGCTTATCACAGTATTACCAGGCAACTGCAGATCTAAATTAAAATATTTCCATTTGTAAATGCAATCAACAATGTAGGTACTACCTGCCTTTTGCTATACAAGTGTGGCATATGTTATTTACCGGACTTCAATAAAATGTCTAAGAAGGGGAGTATACATACACAACAGCAGCCTATAATATCTGGATAACTGTGTCCGACATTAATTAACTAATATGTGATTAACAGCACCAGAAATCAATGGGGGTTTTTTCTCTGCTATGCTGCTATTGTAATACTGCTTGCCAGATAAACAGTGTAAATAAAATTATATATATCATCTTAAAAATAACAGATTTTTCCATGACTTGGGGTGTATCAGATATCAGACATTTGCCCCATGTTTGTAGAAACCAATCAGTACCTAATGAGAAATATCCATGCCAACCACCTTTGCTCCCCAGTTTTTGGTACCCATTTTTGGCTGACTTGGTTTTGTGTGTCTGTGCATGTTTGTGTGTGTAAACAATAAGCCTGAATGGCAACTTCTTTGTTTTTTTTCATGGCTGTGAATTCCGATGGAAAGTCTTGGTTTTTCGTTAGTGGACTCTGGCTTTGCACCAGAATCTGAATTGCACATGCAAATCAATTTTAATGGCTTACTTGTGTGCAGTTTTTGTTCCCTGTCTCTCAGACAGATGTACTCTGACTTCGAATGAAGAAGTCGATCTTATGCCTAGGATGACTGTAGCCACTGTTTCATGGGTCATGATACTGCAGCATTTGTTTGGTGTCCTCTCTGTCCCTTTATCTACAGGTGTTGCCTCTAAAGAACCCATCTAGGGCACTGCATGTAGACTGGTCTGTCCTCTGGGAAAGGCAGGGCAGATCGTAGGCATTCCCCACCATCTAAGGAAGCTTCCTTAAATGCACAGCTAACATATGATGTTCTGGTCCTGGGCTTAAACAAGGGATCGTCACGTCCTGCAAAAGGCTGCTTAACATCATGACCCTATATTTTTTTTTTCACTCATCATGGGTTGCGCCCTCCGCAGATCAGCAAGGAGCAGCCCATAGGTCAAGGATATCAATGACCACACAAAAAGGTACATTCTTCTACATCATGTTAGACACCTTTAGTGTGTTTAAACTGTTCACTTACCACGATAGTTTGGAAAAGCATGCATCGGGTATGGCTTCATTTGTGTGGCCCCAACATTCGGGTGAGTGGGGTTGGGCATATGGTAATAGACATTATAACTTGTCCCCAATAAGTAGGACTTTTTGACTGTTGGACATTTGAGACTTTTGTGCCACAGGACGTGTATTTGTCAGACATTTGAGCCTACCCAGCAAACTGACAGTGGCTGTCATGATGTACCTCAACGCGATGACGACGACGCTAAGTGCCGACAAAGGATGTAGGGAGACAGGATTTTACCGTGAGCAACTGCCCAAAGGTGATACTGCTTGTCTAAGCTGCGAGCAAATCTCTTAGTCTAGGGCTGAGTCTCAGCTGTTCACTTTTTCTTTCACTCTAAAAATATTTTAACCAACAGTTGTCATTTTCACTCTAAAAATATTTTAACCAACAGTTGTCATTTAGTGGTACAATCTACAATCTGGGTTTACTCAGGTTGCAAATGATTTTGATAGATATTTTCATCCATGCATTAGGGATGGGCCGATGAGAGCCAGACTGGAGCCACCAGCTCAGAAATCCTCAGCCAGCTCTGTTAATGCTCATTTGAGACACTGGCACATGATGGGGACATGCAGGAGTCTTGCATGAGGTTCTGTAAAACCAGCACAGAGAAGGCTGGCACCTGAGGTGAGGTATGGAGTATCTTCTCATACACATCACGCCTATGACATAAAGTGTCACACCTGGTAAGACAATCTAAACAATATATGACACTAGATTGGCAGGCAACAGTTCTAGCCCCTGCATCACTGTGACTCCCACAATATCATAACACATTAGACAAACACAACACACTATCCACCATGACGACATAATAATCATGGATAATCAAAGCAATGTTTCCCCATTCTGAACAAAGAGGACACAAACACAAATTCACTGCTTGGTACATTTTGCTGTTATTTCATCAGGTGCATACTACAGTGAAAATTTGCCAGTACCTACAATTATCAGTTTTGCACCCTTCCAATAAACACATGATCTGGTGTGGACATTATTTAACAGAGCTAAAAAGAAACAACCTAGTGAGACACTCGCTGTAAACAGAACTTGAAAGGTTCAAACACTACAATATAACAGGTATCCTGCTGGATTTATTCAGTGCCACTGTCAGCCACCTAAACAAATGACCTATAAGAAATGTCAGTACCTAAATAACAGGTTTATATCCATCTAAACTTATGGAGAGATGACGTTATACAACGTTTATATATGACCGGCTAAGAAGAGCTGTCAAACTTTCTGTGCTGATGTGCATGTTTTCAGGTTTAAAATGATTTCCAAAGTAAATCTGCCACTAAGAGAACCATTATCGACCTAAGCTAAATCATGCTGTAGTTGCTAATTTAAATGCACTTGTAATGCTGCATAAGTGGGCCAAACAGAGAGACAACTCCAGAAGTGATAGTATAGCATATTCCAACAGCGGTGGTTAAAACAAAGGGCAAAATACTAACAACAACAATTCAACAAGCACAATTTAAGCAACTGGAAGAAAAGATCACCCACTGTGCGCAACCTTTTGAATTCTGGCCATACTGTCAATACGAAGATGTATTCTGAATTCTGTATAGCTCAGCCAATCAAGAATGCTCCATAATGTGGAAGTCCAACAATAAACTGCCTGTATGGGTTCTGTGGCTCCATTTTAGAGGACAAAGAATAGACATATTGCCCCCACCCCCTCCCAGCACACCAAAGGAGGCGACTAATAAGAGGTGTCTCCTCCAAAGTTCTGGATCAAGACCAGTACAGGAGTGGACGAACAACCAGAGCTTTCCACCAGAGTTTACAGCTGGTGAAGGCTGAGAAGAAGAAAGAAGACAATAATCAACCAGTTTTGTCCAGATTTGTGCAGACAGAAGGAGATGGTCATAAACCTGGTAAAACAGGCAGTTACGTTTGAATGTGGTTAATTTTGTGTTTCGATCAGAAGGATTCATTTCTTGCTTCATTTAAATCCATTGTTACTACCGTATACACCTGATAAGATACAGCAAAATACGCTAGACAATAAACTGTTTTCTAAATTCACAGATAAAACATTAGACAAACAACTATAAACTCTTACTAACCTAGTAGCTCTAAACCCTCATCACCATCCAAAGAGTTTGTGCGAGGACTGTTGCAATACATGCATCTGTCTAAATATGGGTTTGGACCCCTGCTTATGGCATGAGCTGGGATATCCATGTCTAGTGGTGCATCCATTAGTTCTGTGATCCTCTGTAAACATATCACAATCTCTTAGTTGGAATGCAAATGTCAGTGGAAATTACAAATGAAATCAACTAAACACACTGATTAAATATTCCCTAAATTCTTCTTCTTTGTCTTCTTGTGACCAGCTGTAAACTCTGGTGGAAAGTTCTGGTTGACCGTCCCCTTCTGGACTTTGGTCTTGTTTTGCGTGCACTTCTGCTAGACAGATCTGGCTTATCTGTATGCAGACTGTTTGTTTCTTGCCTCTCAGGCATATGTTTCCCGACATGAAAGGATGCCCCCCCCCCCCCCATGTAGTCGACTCCTATGACATGCTTGCTGGGGTGGCAGTGGGTGGGTTTACTTTTGTTTTCCCTACCATGAGGCCCCTTAACCCACTATGGGACCGTTATAATTCTAGAATTGGTTGTCTCCCATTACATTATTGTTTTCTCTTTATCTTTGTATGATAGTGATAAAAATGCTGAATTTGTTTTTAACTACAAGAGACACTTGGTTTGTGAACAGTTGGTATTTAGTAAGTGAATAATGAAATCTTAATTCAATTTTAAACATTTTACTGCAAAGCTGACAAATCCTTTTTGTAACATGGATGGAACATGTCACCTTTTGTGACAATCATGTTACTGTGAAAACACCCCAATAAAAGCTCCAACATGTTTTAATTTTTTAAAAATTAATCATCATCAATCATCAATTTCCACTTTTGCAGTTAAAAATAAATGATCTGACATCCATTTCTCAATAGGTAGCACTGGATATTGTACTGTTTATAATAATTTTAAAAAAGTATTGACATCCTCATGCATGTTCTTATTAATGTGACGCATGCAAGCAGAAACAATGATGGTTAAAAATTTGAAATAAAAAGTATTTTGACAGCAGTAGAAATCCCAAACCATGAATGGCACGAGACTTTTACAATAGACATGCTAAACCTGCCTAATTATGTTATGCTAAGCTGCCCGTCACTTATCACAGTATTCCTATTTTAGACCCTCACAAGGATTATTCACATGCCAATTATAACAGGCAGGCAATAATGATTATTAAAGAGCACATTATAACAGACAGGCAGTGCAATATAAATAAGAACTGTTCCCCATAAAGACAGCGTGCGGTGCCTTGTCTATAACTAACTACCAGCAGCATGACGATGGAAGAGATGGCGGTGACACAAGGTGTAGTGACTGGAATCACATGACTATTCCTATGTGTGTGTGTGTGTGCTGATTGATTCTATGAGCATGGTCTGACGGGTCAAGACAGCTCCATACGCAGACAGTGGACATTGTAAAACCCCACTGTTCTCAATGTTACCTTCATCTATGCCTCAGGGCATGCGGGTGTTGCTGGCAAAGAAAGAGCTGACTGACTGACCTGTACTGCCTTAGTTGCAGATGCCTAGCATATGGATCATGCTGACACTGTTAATACCATTTGAAAGGTAGGATGATTAGAGGATTTTAGGAGCAGCATGCTTCAATTATTACTAAGAATGCAAGAATTATGAGTAAAGATCAGCACAGCCGAGCAAGAGAGGCACACCAGATGTACAAGAAGTTTTGTTAACCAACACATGACTGGTAATATAAACCATGAGATGATGTATATGTTGAAAGGGGCATCTGAGCACTTATGGGTATGTTCAGAGTGCTGTGAAAATAACTGAACTCATAACTCAGAGATTCACCATAGACTATGCTAATAGATACAGGTATAGCATATCATGGTATGTTATTCAGTCCAAGAAGTGTGAAGTCTATCTTCTTCTTCTTCGCGTTCACCAGCTGTAAACTCTGGTGTAAAGTTCTGGTTGTTCGTCCACTTCTGGACTGCAGTCCTGTTCCAGAACCTGAGTGTTGCGTGTGCATCAGTTTTACAGATCTGATTCAATTGAATGCAGAATGCTGGTTCCTTGCCTCTCAGGCAGATGCACTCTGACTTTAAAGGAAGCTCCCCAGTTAGTCGACTCTTACGACATGCTTTTGGGGAGGCAGTGGGTCTATTCTTGTTTTCCCCACAATAGGGCCCCGGAACCCACACGGGGGTGTGAAGTCTATGAAATGGCCAAGCCTCCAAATTATATTGATTAAAGCCTGAAAGTCTCTTACAGCATAAGACAATCCCAATCAGCACAAAGAGACATCTTATTCAAAGCATATTTATTCCAACTCTGTGCTACCAGTGCCAGACATGGTCACTCACAACAAACCATAGTGCCAGACATGGTCACTCACAACAAACCATAAAAGAAAATTAGTAACCAAAGAAATGAGATGTCTGAGAAGGGCTGTAGGTGTGACCATAAGAGATAAGATCAGGAATGAGATCATAAGAGAAAAAGTCGGCACAGAACCAATTCTGGATTACATACGAAGACAGAAAGTGAATTGGTTTGCCCACTTAGAGAGAATGCCTTGTGACACCATACTATTCAAAGCATACATGGAAAGAGAAGAAGGACGTAGAGCACAAGGTAGACCAAGAACAAGATGGAAGGATAACATCAGAGAAACTCCACAACAGCCCGATGTGCCTATGGTCGAGGCGGCCAGAGAAGCTAGAAACAGAACCTTATATCTCCCTCGACACCCACAGCGGTAAAAGAGGAAGTGAAGTGAAGAAGAAAGCCTGAAAACAAATTTTAGATACAATAGTTTCCCCTTGATATCCACACTGAAATTTATAGATACAGTAACTGTTGTCTTTCACAAAAATGTTTGATTGTCAGAATAAGTGCAATGATATGCCTAAATGTTATTTTCCATTAATACAGATGGAAACTACATCTAATGAACTACATTATTGATAACAGAATACATTTACAGATACTTGTTACAATATTATGTGTATCCTTCCTTATCCATTCTTGCTAAGCAATGGTCTCATCTGTATCACATAACTTTTAATGGCTGCCCTAAAACAACTATGTTAACAATAAACATTTTCAGATTCTTTTCTACTTGCCACTCGGGGAGGGGTTGTTAATATAAACATTTAACACAATGTGACATTATTGTAGGCATGCATGCATTTTTGTGAAATTAAATGGTTTTTCTCCTCTTCATTATTCATTTTTACTGTTGCAATTACTGGCGTTAATGACACAGACAAATCCCGCATCCACAATGATGACAATGAGTAAGAGGCTAAGGTATTTATTATAAGTTTACTATAGCTGCTGTTGCTGATGCCCATCCATGCTGTTAACTCTTTGAGTCCCAAGGAACTGGAAAGCATCTTACGTTCATAGGTTCCTACCTAGAAGCCCAATGAATGCATGATGCGCCGATTTTATGACTCTATTTAATACCCCCTGGGCCTGTGATGCGAAAGCCCCTGGGACTCAAAGAGTTAATAAGAGTTAATAATGTCTGAAGGTGAGTGAATGTTTAGTAGTTACTAATAATTCTAATAGTAGGGATTTTAGTCAAAATGTAAAAATTAGGTTTTTTACTTTTAAACCAAGACAGCTGAATAGAGGTTGAAAACCCGAGTCCAACGGTACCTCAATGAAGTCTGTATGTCAATTCTAAGCGGAGATATTCACATTTCAGTGACTGAAAGTTGCCCCAAAAATTTATAATGGAAAACACAGAAACAAGATGGCGGCGTGTTCCCAAGTGAAAACTGGTCTTAAATTTATCATGTTTAATGTCAATAACTCTCAAGTTTTTTGCTGAACCCCTTAGCAACCATATGTCATTGCTTTCAGGACAGCAGGCTCTGACTAAAGTTGTTGCCTTTAAAAAAAAAATGATGTGATGCAAACCTAAATAACATAAAAATGAGTTTGTTTATCAGGATTGATAACCTTATTCATGAATTAAATTAATGATTATTATCCAGTGAGTCTTCCAAGACATATACTGTAATATGCATACTTTTGTAACTATTCTTCTTGTTATGATGCATCTCTTCCTATTTGTTTAAAAATGCTTTTTCTTTCACTCTCAATTGTGTGTGTAGTGTGTATACATCTGACCGAAATTTGCTCTACTCCACTGTTAAAAAATGTTCAATAGCGAGTGGATTGACTTCACTGCATCGTTACTGGTTTCATATGGCTTGGTCTTTCTCCACATAACCATGAATGACTAGCCGCATGCCGAGACCTTAGCAGTAAGCCTGAATACCGTAGCTCCAGCAACAGCCTCCAGGGGTCCCTGTTAACCCAAATAAAATGTATTTTTGAGACGAACAAAGCAGTTGTAAAATAAACTCATCGCAACCTTCCGAGCACGAGGTTAATGGCTTGACCACTTTTCTACAGAGACCCCCAATATTGTTTGATAACCAAGTGAAAATATGCACCCTTTTTACTGATTTAACATAATCCCTTCTTCAGTCTTTGCGAGTTATTCTTTAATTTTATTGATGATGAGTGCATTTTACCACAGTGTTTCCCTCTTCTTCTTAACTAACACTGCTGGATATTTTATTTACTAGTTCAAAATAATCTAAGGTAACTGCTCATACCTGATTTGTGATTCAGTGCTATGTTTTCATGGAGTAAAATTATTTAATAAGCTCCTTTGTGATTCGCTTTGGATTTATGTTGTGTTTTCATGGAGCAGCATTTCATAAGGTAAGAGGAAAAAGAACATTATATATATTTTATTAACGTATCTATGTTCCATGTGATCTGTTTGCTAGCTAGTATATATTAGTATATTTAGAAAATAATTATTAAATATTATTAATCATAAGTTGTAACTAGCCTTGGCTGTAAGTAAGTAAACGTATGCACAGTTAAACAAATTATAATTTATTATTAATTTTATTAATCGTCAACTTTCTAAATAAGCATCTATAAGTCAATACTAAAACTATAATTTTAAAACTAATAATATTCATGCCAAATGATAGATTATGGCTTAAAAAATGCTATAATGGCTAAAGATTTGAAAAATGATTAAATAATTACTTTATGTTCATTTAAAAGTATAATAAAAAATGTTTAAACCACTGTCTGCATCCACAATGTCAGTCTGGGTGCGGAGAGTGGGGGGTCAACAGGTAAAAAGGCTTTAAACAGGAACTATGATTCATGCCAAATGATAGGTTATGGCTTAAAAAATGCTATAATGGCTAAAGATTCCCAAAATGATTTAAAAACTACAATAATGTGATTTTAAAGTATATTTTAAAATGTTCAAACCAATGTCTGTGTCCATTTTCAACGCAAAATACCCTAGAAAATAGTCTATGTTAAAAATGTGCTAAAACATTATTTTCAAGTATTTAAAATTATTAAAACTCATGTGAAATTAAAGTTAAAGAAAGGTCAATTATAAATACGATAAAAATTGCCTTATTTTTGAACTGTTTTAATAAAAACCTAGATTAATTAATCTTGAGATAAACAGTTCGTTTAGGCCACGAGGTAGCCATTTTGAGAAATCGCCGATTTAGCTGTCAAGAAGTGACCGGGAAGAAATTTAAATTTCATATTCTATGATGTACAGATTCCAGCAAAACTACCCATATTTATGTAAAAATGGACACAGAATCCAAAAATGTCAACTAAAAGTATATAAATTCACTTTAAAAAGGAGATATTAAAGAAATTTAATTCCCGCATAGCAAATAGTGAAATTTATTTGGCTGAACAAAGATCGCTATGTAAGTTAGGTGTCGTTTGATTGAGCATCCTCTTCTGAATAACTTTGAGCCCACGTATTCGATTCTGAGCAGCCAGTATTGAGCGACAGGATTTCAAAGTAACTGATAGGCAAAGAAGCCATTTTTCGTGGACCACCGACGCCATCTTGTAACTAAGCGATCTCTACTTTCGTTTTTAAGTGGGTCACTTCAATGATCATAATCGCTACTAATAGTATCAACTATTGCTGTACTGTCATTGTTATTAATATATATATATATATATATATATATATATATATATATATATATATATATATATATATTAAATTAGGGACAAATTTAAAACAGTAATTAATTATTATTATTTAATATATTAATAATTCAACCATGACAATTTTTTAAATCATCCACCACCCACGATATATAAATGACAAATGTATATTTATTTCACTCACTTTCCATTCACAGATCAATCTGTGATTTGCAAGCTAACATTAACATTTGATATTCCTAAAGAAAACATTTGTCATTAACATGATTAACTAAAGTGAGGAAGACAATTACCGAACTAGTAAAGTAACGTGTTTTCCTGCAAGTTTACTAACTATTGTTGACTTTTCTTTTTAGCAAAAAAAAATACTTTTAACTTTACAGCTCAGAATTGACTACTCTTGACAGAACTCTCATTTTATTCTATTTATTTTTTTTCCCACGATTTAACAAAAAAAATTCCATTTCATCATAATAATCACAACTGTAAAATATAAATACAATGAAAGCCTAAGAAGATAAGAGTCAAAAACGGTACCCAAAAGTTAATAACTGACTGGAAATTAGTACACATAACTAAAAATGTAAAGTGTAATCCAGAGTTGTTAAATACCTCTGCATCATCGGGAGCTGCGGGTAACGTGTGACCTAACTCTGCTGCAACATCGCTGCCATTCATATTTAGACTAATTCCAAAGGGCTGAAACAGTTTCGGTGCTGCACCCTCACTAGCAGCTGCCGTAGCTGCTGCACTACTTGTCGATACATTCTTGGAGTGAGAATACAAGTTTCTGCGCCCTCTCGATCGTTTACCTTCCTTTCCACTCATGTTTGAACAAATGTTTATGAGCAGCTTTAACAGTGCATCCCTGAATTGACAGAAACAAAGTATGTAGGGTGGATGGATTTAAGTTCACGATTAAAATAGCTGAACCTTTCAGTACCAAAATGGCGGAACAGTAAAGTATTTTGATCCCGGCATGCTCCGAGGCGAGGGTTGGTAGGCAGGTTAAGCGACATTACTCTGAAATATCCTTCTCAAATATTCCTTGTTTATTTCCCACTTAATTCAAGACGGACGAAGAAAAAGGATACATATCTAGATAACGGCTGATATCAACCGTCATAAAAGGATTATTGTCTGAGTAATGGGCATATAGGGTAAGACCTAATATGCTACAGACAATTCGGCACTCAGTGTGTGATGCACCCAACGTCACACCCGCCGCCAGGACTTTAATTAGGATCTTAAACTGGTACACGTTCAAGCCTGGGTCGACCTGGGAGCCGAGGTCATTTATGACAGGAAAAAAAAAACAGACCAGCTCCGCCACGATCTGAAACCAGGTCCGCAAGCGAGCGGCTAGCCGCTACACCATAGCTATAAGATGGCGATATACTGGGCACCTCCTGCATCTTCGGCGACCGGGTCACCCATTAGCTCGCCGGTAGACGACTTCGTCGTTGATCTGGACAATAACTGCGTAAGTTTCCTTTGATCGCATCAACACTGCAGGAGTCCTTTTCATGGCTCTTAATGGCGTGCAGTGCTAAGCCATTTTATAAGGCGCACATAACCTAGTCACAATTATAACCTAAAGCCCCCCCCCCCTTTCGGAGACTCGGTTTGTCACATCCGGTCTGCTGCCTGAGGGTATACTACCCTGAGAAACCCCAAAAAAAGTATCAATCTGAATGGCAGACCAACAAGGCAGATCCCATATACCCTAAACAAACCCCAAAGAATTTACAATAAAGGCACCTGTCACGGCTACACCAACCTTGTGTAACCTGCAGTCCTGTTTGAGTAAGGAACGAACAGAAAACAACCAAAAACAGGCCCTAAATTGGAAAGCAAATGGAGTGAAGAAATGAGGACGTCCAAAAGACACCCGTAAGATGAACTTTGATAAGTGAGGTCAAAGGTGCTGGAGTCGATCCCATTCATGATATAGAAACAGTTATATATCGGAAGAATCAACTGCCAGCACTTTGTGATACTAGAACATGATTACGGAAGGTAAGTGTCTGTCGCTCTCATCAAAGTACGGGACCAAAGACTCCCACCCAGGTTCTTGCGTCCCTGGGTACCAGCAAATGTTGGAAGTAGGACAGCATAATAGTGTCCAAGTCAAATACTGAATATTGACTTACTATATACATATGATTCTAGCGCTGACTGCTTAACTTAAGGTGGGGAAAATGCTCTTTCTACTATTAATCCCATAAAATAACAAGTTCATGTGTGTAAATTTAGAACTAGTTATGTCCAAGGAGAAAGTGAAATAACAAGTAATTGTCAGTGCGGGTTCTGATTATTGTACAATAAACTTGACCTGGCGGTAGCAGCTAGCTACTCGTCTGGGGATCCGAACCTATTGCCTTTGAATTCGCCTAGGGTAGTATTTGTTTTTAAATGACCTTGGCTCCGTGTTTGGCACAGCTTAAACTGGGTACCAGGTAAAGTTATAGGAAGTAAAAGTGACCTGTCTGATGAAGACCTTATCGTGTGCCTCATAAAAATATAAGGCTAACATCATAATCCTTTTGTGCCAACGGCCTGAAAAAAGACTTCACTAACTTTACTAGACACGCCCTTGGAGTGCGATAGCAAGATCAGATGGAACCCGGTGCGGAAAAATCATGTCAATATAACTATTTTTTTTTTTTTTATTTATTTTAAACGGTAGTTTTAACCCATATCCTCAGCCCCGACTAGACTACTTAACTGTTTCCTATTATGTTTTACACGGTTTCTTTGTACCTGATTCTCATCCGTGAGGTGTTTATCTCATACACTGCAACATAACAAGAGACAAACTACATACCCTATCAACTACATTTTTAAAATAATGATAATAATAATGGAAACCGCCAGTCACAATGGACTATGGTGATGTGCCACTGGCTTTGGGAACAGTATTTGCTGTACGCAGATTTCGATCCGTCTGTTTGGTTGTCCCCTAAGCCCGGTGCACCAAACAAGGCAAACGGATCTTGGCGAGACAGCACCTTACTGACTGGGGGCTACCCAGCTAAGGTGGGCGGTAGCTGTCCAGTAGACTACAATAGTCTCTCCACCGTCGGAAACAACCCCTGGCACCTTGCTCTACGCCAACTGAGCACAAGCTTATAACCGGCGACTGTTGCTTTCCCGTGTTAAGTCGAAGCTGTTGAGCATCACTGGGGTGACTTCTCCAGGGCACAGGCTTGTGCATTCTGATTTGCAAGTTCACCCTCTCTACTTCGCCAGTGATACCAATACAATTTGGCACTGAGGACGTTGCAGGAACTGCCGGAATAGCACTGTAAACAATGCTGAACCACCTTAGGGATTCCAGCTCAAGATTTTTCCTCAGGGTTTACTCCCGAAGCGCTTGCCCAGGGTAGGGTATAGCTACAAGACAGTGGAGGTTTGGAATCAGGGTTTTCCTTCTCCTAGATGAGCTATACTCCCGTACTGACGAGCCTCATCTACCCGAAGCATCTGGTTAAAGCCCTATACAACTGCTTTCGCAACTTCTCCTGTTAGTTTTAACATTTCCGCCAAGAGAAGGTCAGGAGTTGGACTTTTTCTGTCAGAAGCTATAAGAACTGCCCAAACCGTTTTATCTAAAACTTTCAAGTTACGGTCCCTGGAATTCCTCGGGGGTATTTATTATTTATCCTCTTGTTCCACCTGTGCTTGAGGACAAGACCCAGCGACTCATCAGGAAGTTTATTTCCAGAACATTGAAAGTGATCTGAGAGCCACCCCTCAAACCAGCCTGCACAACCTGGTATGACATGACCAGATCCAGCGAGTACCAGTTATACCGAATAGAACAAGCTATCTCTCCCTCTCACTCTTCCGACCACATTTTATTCCAGCAATCTAAACCTGTGCTATTTCTACGCTCTACCCCATAGACGACTAACAACGACATAACTCCTACCGAGGTAACAAAAACTCTTAACCCAGTATATTTCCAGAAAGATAAAGACAACGGAAACCACCAAAGGCCACCCGACGCTCCGAAGCAAGATAGCTGAGAACATTGCACCAAATAGGACCACCACTCGAAGATTCCAGTTATTCTTACGCCATCCGTGCCCTCAGACCACATGTGTTTAAAAATGCTTAACATGCCCTCAGTCTAATTCCAGATCAGGGAACAAGACCTGCTACTGGTTATGACCTCACCACTGGCTACCAACCCATGACCGAAACACATGAGGGTCAGGCATCGCACGGTACCTCAACCCACCAGAAGTACAAGTGCCGGAAACCCATCTTTCTCATCATAACAAGCGATCTGTCACTCTCACTCTTCCGACCTAACTATCAAATCTCTTGGCACATTCGAGCAATTAATTCTCCTTTGCAACCTATGTTAACTCCGCTACTTTTTCACCCTATGTTTTTGCTGCTCACAACAGATGGCGACGGTCCTGGTTGTCCTACAAAGAAACAGTGTGTGTTGACGGGGCCTCGAGGTGTTAAAATTTTTCCCGCGGCTTCACAGAGCGGTAGGTAACCCAGCACCTGGCAATAGTGCACCAGCGCAGTGACCAGCACGGTTAAACCACGACCGGCTCCAGCTGACGGGACGTGCTGCTGACGTCACATGCCCTGGCATACGCTTAATGCACCCCAGGGTTCAGTGGCACTCAGAGTGAGAACCGCTGCTTTAACGCTTCATTAGCCCCCGGTGACGTCAGCAGCGCGGCCCGTCTGCTGGAGTCGGTCGAGGTTAAACCAAGCACCATCGACAATCAGCAAAACCCCACAGGGACAGGAGTTTAAGAGAACCGGACCAGATCAGGACCCAGGACCCCAAATACCACAGCGGACTTAGGAAGTCAAATTAAAAGAATATCAGGTGTGACTTCACACCACAAAGAATAGGAAACCAAATAAGATGGCCAAGGAACCTTTCTTCAAATAGCAGGCCAATGAGCGGCTGACAAAGGATCAAGCTTAAAATTTTTGCTTCTCACAAATTGGAATTAGAACTGTCTAGTCAATCTACTCACAAGACATCGACCTGTCCGTTTCGAGATACCGAGTTCAGTGATTTTGTGTATTTGGGTGGTATTGTTTTGTTTATGTATGTGCTAATAAAGGCTCCATAGTCGCAACGTTCATGTTTTGTTAGCGTTCGTTATATTGTGAAGCTTGTTGATATACTTTTCCTACGGTTTTATATCTTTTCCAGAGGCTTTAAGAGACGCACCCCTTGAGGGGGTGCCATCTCCACGCTGAAGGTTGGCTGCAATGGATCTCCAACAAGCTCTGTCTCTTGTCTAGGTTGTACACTCTCCAAGACTGTTGTTCATCCATCTCTTGTCATTGTCCTCCCACTTGTAACACTTTCTAGCTCTTGCTCTCGATTTTCCCCTCCAGTATGGTTTTTTAAAAGTGTATTGTCTTTTGAAGTATTTCAAATGTCTCTATCTTTTACTTACTAAATAAGTGATAATCTCAGTTCGTTACATTCAAAGAATGAATGAATCAATCAAGAACTGACTGCCATTCCCACACATGCTCCGTTCCCTTCTTTGGTAACCGACAGAGAGCTGACATCATGCCAATAGTACCAGCTGCAACCGGATTAAAAGTCTGCATCTGTTTCCCCCTCAGTGTTGAATATCTTCCAGAACCTCTACACCAACGTCCCCACTCCTTTTACGAATTAGTCTTTCAGTGTGTGGATTCTCTATCTGTTCTTTTGCACTGTCCGTTTGCACCCATAGACCATTCATCACCTCCGTTTCATCATATAGTAGCTCACCGCCCAGAGGAACGACAGCAACTAATCAAGAAGCCTGCTGCCACACTTGAATGTC